ACTCCTCATTGATCACTATAATGAGATTGTAATGTCTCTTTTCTAACTGTTAACACTTCGCTATCTATTCCCAATTCTATCTCTGACTACAGTTAGTAACACTACGTCCGTGACAATAGAACTGCCGTCCACGAATCTCTCCCTCTCCCCTATGTCACGAAGAGTTCTATATTATATACCGTTCTCTACCTCCCTAGGTGGTCCAGAAATGCTGACAATTAACCCATCTATACCCCCTCATTTCCGGTCAATTAGGAACTTCCGTCGTCAACCCCAAAGTTGTCACGCGAAGTCTGGAAAACCCGAGACATAATGTTTTGGAAAGAAGCATCTCCCTAATCTAAAAGATACGAGAATGTATAAGCCCTACCCCCCATGGGCCTAACTGTTCCCTCCCTAAAATCACAGCAATTTCCGTCCACCCCATAAGTTATCTGAAGAACAATGGAGCTCTGTTGTTAACCCCCGTCCCTGTCGTTTGTGACACTGATGATGATATTAAGTAAGGTGTATCTACAAAGAAAAGGCGATCATTTAATGTTTAAAAAACGCACAGCTTTGTATAAAAATTTAAAAATGAACGTACATTGACATGTGGTTAATTCTTTAATATATATATGGGCTTGGTTTAAACCATGGCATATGGAGTAAATAAATATTGTAACAAGATATGTTTAAGCTTGAAAAAAAGAAAAGAAACGACCTCAGATTGTTAACAAAATAATTAAGTACCGGTAATTAAAATAATAACAATCTTGGTCTTTTGAATTATTTATTTATTTATTTATTTAGGCATTTTTATATAGCGCTTATCATAAAGCTCTAAGCGCTTTACAATTATTAAAACATGTAAACTAAGTAAATACAAATGAGATACTAGGATAGTAACTACTATTTTATAGAAACAATGAAAATGGCTATAAAAAGAGGACACTTTGACACTTCAGGATTAAACCGAAACAGAAAATTAGGTAGGGCAAGGAGGGTGCATCACAGGTCATAGGCGGACCTAAACAGATGAGTTTTAAGGGACTTTTTGAAAATGGACGAGGTTTCACTATGACGTATATGGAAGGGGCGCTGGTTCCAGAACGTGGGCCCATGGAAGCAGAAGGAGCGTTCACCGATGGTCTTAGTTTTAGTTCTTGGGATTGAGAGGGTTCTACTGTCAATGTTAAATTACTGCACAATTTAAAAAAAAAAAATGCTTAACAATTGAACGAGTCCTTAAAGCCATTTGAACCCGTAGGAAATCATCATTAACTGGCGATTTTTATACAAAATAACTAATACGAGAACTGAGGATCAGAGACCCAAAACATGGCAGATTTAATGAAAAAGAAAGGTAATGAAGGCTAACATCCTGTGTTTAGAGCCGCACGCAGAAATTTGCCTGTACACAAAATGATATCATGGAATGTTGATTTTGTTCTTTTTCATAAGTCCATTTTTAGTGACTTCGTAAGAGTGTGTTAATATTTTTTGGTATACCATTAGTTCTAGTAATAACATCTGTCACTAGAGTCCCAACATTTATCAGCAGGTTGAATTTTCTTATTCTCAAAAACCTAAACCGCATACGTAGATTACGGCCACATCCACTTCTCGTTTGTGGAGGATCTTGGTTAATTTTTGCGCCTGTTGCCTGATGCCACACACTTTCAAATGCATAACCACCAGCGTTTGGACAGGGTGACCCTTGCAACTCATCTGTCACGGCCAGTCATTTTTTTAGCCTCACATCGGCCTGTCGTTCGTCACCGACTCGAGAGAGGATTGCGTCCTGAAACAGCCTAGAGTGAGGGAGGGTGTCCCTGTCCCACCTCCGCATTAGAAAAACTATTCGCCCCCCCCCCCCGACACATCAGATGCATAGGCAATTAGAAAGATGCACCTTTACCCTATTATCGCGCGTACTCCCAGAATCGCAATTGGAGGGTGCCCCCGTCCCCCCTCCGCATTAGAAAAACTATTCCCCCCCCCCCCCCCGACACATCAGATGCATAGGCAATTAGAAAGATGCACCTTTACCCTATTATCGCGCGTACTCCCAGAATCGCAATGTGTCTTTCGAGCTGTTTGGTAAACAACAGACATGATCTTCTCTCTGCGCCAGCTGCAGGAGAAATGCAAGGAACAACATATGCCTCTATACATCGCGTTTGTCGACCTCACTAAAGCTTTTGATCTTGTCAGCAGAAGCGGCCTTTTCCAGATCCTTAAAAAAAAAAAAATAGGCTGCCCTAGACGTCTGCTTAACATCATCAAGCAGTTCCACGATAACATGCAGGGCACAATGTGCTTTAACGGTGCCACTTTAGAAGCTTTTTCAGTAGATAGTGGAGTAAAGCAAGGTTGCGTGCTGGCTCCTACTTTATTTGCAATCTTCTTCTCCATCTTAATCCAGTATGCCTCCAAGAACAACGGCGAGGAGATATACATCCACACTAGAACTGACGGGAGATTATTCAACATTGCCCGCCGTAGAGCTAAGACCAAAATAAGAAAGGTCATGCCACGTGACTTCCTATTTGCAGATGACGCCGCCTTAATATCTCACACAGCTTACGGCCTGCAGAGCCTGGTATCCTGCTTATCCGCTGCCTGCAAGGAGTTTGGCCTGACCATTAGCTTAGAGAAAACCAACATTACGGCACAGGACGCTGACTCCCTCCCCACTATCGCCATTGACGACTGCGACTTGGATGCTGTTGACAGTTTCACATATCTGGGATCCAACATATCGAGCACCCTCTCAATGGAGGATGAGATAAGTGGTAGGGTATATATAAGGAAGGCCGCTACTGTCATGGCTAGACTGAAGAAAAAAGAGTCCGGTCCAATGCTAAACTTTCAGCAAGAACTAAGCTGCAGGTGTACCAGGCCTGCGTACTGAGACACTCCTCTATGGATGCGAGTCCTGGACCACATACACCAGGCACGAAAGACGGGTCAATGGCTTCCACCTCAGATGCCTGCGTCACATCCTTGACATTAAATGGCAATATAAAGTCCCCAACACGGATGTCCTGTCTCAAAAAAAAAACAGGAGCAGCGTCCCAGCCATATTAATCCAAAGACGACTACGCTGGCTTGTGCACGTCAAGCGAATGCAACCTGGTCGCATACCCAAGGACTTGCTATACAGCGAGCTGGTGACAGGGAAAAGGTCGGTTGGACGGCCCTGTATCAGATACATAGACATATGCAGAAGAGACATGAATGCGGCCAACATCGACATCTCAAACTGGGAGGACCTTGCAGAGGATCGATCCACATGGCGGGACATCGTGAAGGAAGGATTCCTACGTGCCGAGGAGCAAAACATGGCGGCAACAGCTGTAAAAAGAGTGAAGAGGAAAGCCAGAAAACACTGTTCCATCGCATTCTTGTGTTAGACATGCACAAGAGACTGTCACTCGACAATTGGTCTCACGAGCCAGACTAAGAGCTGCAAGCTAAGAAGATAATTCTATCGTCTCTCGTAGACGGAAAGATACTATACCAAACCTTTAGTAAAAAAATCTGCAAGAGCCATAAGAATAGAGAGATTGGCTTCCGCCACCTTGGGGGCTTGCCTCGCCTAAACCCTTTGCTCAGGTAGGTATTCTGTCACGGGTATGCGCCGGGATCTGCTTAGCCTCGGTCGATTTCTTCACTTTGTTGACCCGGTTTTTGTTCAGCACAGCCGTGACGTGTAGCCTTACCACACACCCCTTTTGTTTTGATATTGAGGTCACCGATTCAATGTGAAGCTCTCTACCATCACCAACCGTCCCTTGATCGGGAAAAGGTTGTTGACGTTCGAATTTGTTCTAAATGGAAGGTAGAGAATACGCTAGCTTGGGTGATGTTATTTCTAGAATTTCTTTGCTAGAGGGTTCTAACACTATTCCTGTAAATAAGCGGGCAGATCCCCAGCCGGAAGAGATTTGCTCGATTTCCTAGACACGTGACTTAATATTCTTATATGAGTAGTACAAGATTTTGCTCTGTGTTTCTGTGTGTGTGTCTATATATATATATATAGATTGCTTGTGGTGGTCCACGGACCTGCACCGGTCCACAAGCCTTACGTTGCTTGTGGTGGTCCACGGACCTGCACCGGTCCACAAGCCTTACGTTGCTTGTGGTGGTCCACGGACCGGCACCGGTCCACAAGCCTTAGGTTGGTTGGGGTGGTCCACGTACCGGCACCCGTCCACAAGCCTTAGATTGCTTGTGGTGGTCCACGGACCGGCACCGGTCTACAAGCCTTATAGATTGCTTATCCGAACAACATGAATATTTATTTTCAAATAAAATAAAAATATAATAGATAAAGTTGGCAACGGGCCCTGGAGAAATTTTTTCAATGCGTCCACGAAATGGCGGGACACGCTGTTGAAGAGTGCACATTGTTCAGGAGACGTAAACATCTGAATAAAACAACCGCGTTGTGCAGTCAAGTTTTGAAATATTCATCAGGGAATTTTAACTATAACCCTGGCTGTAGCCGAAGCTGTATGTCTTTGATTTGTGTATAGAAAATAACAATTTCTTTCTGGAATTACTGATTGAGCCCGAATATATTTCGAGGTATGGCAACATTGGAGTTTTTAAAAAAATTAAAAAAATATACATATTCTCTTGATCCGCCACGGGTAGGTTGTCCAGGTGGGTACCCATCTTTGCGCTGCATAACCCCGCTATGGACGACTCTAAGGATATCTCAACACGCGTGGCGTGGGCAAAATGGATCTAGAACAAATGGATCATGGGTAAACACGCTTGGAAAGAAAATGTAAATTCGGAAGCGTCCAAGGGGAATAAAGCTACGGTTTACAGTATGTGATCGATTCCTGATCACATTGGGGCGATGTAAGAGTGCATGCCGTATTCACGGGTGGGCTGATTCTTGTAGAGCCACCAAGGCGTGCATCTACTCAGCTGTCTCGTGTTGTGTGCACCTCTAGACTTCTGTATGCACAGTGGTCTATAATCTTGTGTCTTGTTTTATATCGTGATGTGTCGTGTGATTATCGCCGTAGCTGAGATAATTATGATTAGCTCAACCGTCTAAGTGAGAAACTTGTAGCTGTGTAAGTGAGATACCTGGGATTAACTCAATTAACTGTGTAAATGATATACTTGTGATTAGCTCAAAAAATTGTGTGAGATGCTTGTGATTAGAGGTTTAGGCGATATACTCAACGGTTTGGAGGTTTGTCTTCAAACTTTGCACCACTAAAAATCAAAATCGCGTGTCTGGCACCTCCTACGACACGCCCTTGCTGTGAAGATTGTCACATTTTAGGTGCATCCTTTTTTATTTCTTTTGCTGCAGAGACTGGTGGTGCCAGTGGCCTAGTCTCAAAACGTACAGACATAGACTGATAGTGCCAGTGGCCTAGTCTCAAAACGTACAGACATAGACTGGTGGTGCCAGTGGCTTAGTCTCAAAACGTACAGACATAGACTGATGGTGCCAGTGGCTTAGTCTCAAAACGTACAGACATAGACTGATGGTGCCAATGGCTTAGTCTCAAAACGTACAGACATAGACTGGTGGTGCCAATGGTCTAGTCTCAAAACGTACAGACATAGACTGGTGGTGCCAATGGCTTAGTCTCAAAACGTACAGACATAGACTGATGGTGCCAATGGCTTAGTCTCAAAACGTACAGACATAGACTGATGGTGCCAATGGCTTAGTCTCAAAACGTACAGACATAGACTGATGGTGCCAATGGCTTAGTCTCAAAACGTACAGACATAGACTGATGGTGCCAATGGCTTAGTCTCAAAACGTACAGACATAGACTGATGGTGCCAATGGCTTAGTCTCAAAACGTACAGACATAGACTGATGGTGCCAATGGCTTAGTCTCAAAACGTACAGACATAGACTGATGGTGCCAATGGCTTAGTCTCAAAACGTACAGACATAGACTGATGGTGCCAATGGCTTAGTCTCAAAACGTACAGACATAGACTGATGGTGCCAATGGCTTAGTCTCAAAACGTACAGACATAGACTGATGGTGCCAATGGCTTAGTCTCAAAACGTACAGACATAGACTGATGGTGCCAATGGCTTAGTCTCAAAACGTACAGACATAGACTGATGGTGCCAATGGCTTAGTCTCAAAACGTACAGACATAGACTGATGGTGCCAATGGCTTAGTCTCAAAACGTACAGACATAGACTGATGGTGCCAATGGCTTAGTCTCAAAACGTACAGACATAGACTGATGGTGCCAATGGCTTAGTCTCAAAACGTACAGACATAGACTGATGGTGCCAATGGCTTAGTCTCAAAACGTACAGACATAGACTGATGGTGCCAATGGCTTAGTCTCAAAACGTACAGACATAGACTGATGGTGCCAATGGCTTAGTCTCAAAACGTACAGACATAGACTGATGGTGCCAATGGCTTAGTCTCAAAACGTACAGACATAGACTGATGGTGCCAATGGCTTAGTCTCAAAACGTACAGACATAGACTGGTGGTGCCAATGGCCTAGTCTCAAAACGTACAGACATAGACTGGTGGTGCCAATGGCTTAGTCTCAAAACGTACAGACATAGACTGATGGTGCCAATGGCCTAGTCTCAAAACGTACAGACATAGACTGGTGGTGCCAATGGCCTAGTCTCAAAACGTACAGACATAGACTGATGGTGCCAATGGTCTAGTCTCAAAACGTACAGACATAGACTGATGGTGCCAATGGCTTAGTCTCAAAACGTACAGACATAGACTGGTGGTGCCAGTGGCCTAGTCTCAAAACGTACAGACATAGACTGATGGTGCCAATGGCTTAGTCTCAAAACGTACAGACATAGACTGATGGTGCCAGTGGCCTAGTCTCAAAACGTACAGACATAGACTGATGGTGCCAATGGCTTAGTCTCAAAACGTACAGACATAGACTGATGGTGCCAATGGCTTAGTCTCAAAACGTACAGACATAGACTGATGGTGCCAATGGCTTAGTCTCAAAACGTACAGACATAGACTGATGGTGCCAATGGCTTAGTCTCAAAACGTACAGACATAGACTGATGGTGCCAATGGTCTAGTCTCAAAACGTACAGACATAGACTGATGGTGCCAATGGCTTATAGTCTCAAAACGTACAGACATAGACTGGTGGTGCCAATGGTCTAGTCTCAAAACGTACAGACATAGACTGATGGTGCCAATGGCTTATAGTCTCAAAACGTACAGACATCTTCGGTCTTCTCGTTATGATTAATCCACCGAACTTGCTGCTTCGTAGCTCGCTCCGCCGGGGCCTCCCTAATTATGAAGAAGCGATGACGACATGGGTTCCTCGCTACACCCCCTTCACTCGCTACCCTAGAATTCGTTAAGGACAGTTGTCGTCAGGATCCATGAAATGAGGCTTGTTCAACCAATTGCTGATTTATTTATTTTTACATCAAGAAGTGTCTATTTATGTGTTTGTCTGTTAAGTTATGGAATGATATCGAGGCCAAAAGAGATCAGAGCAATACAAACATCCAGCATTCACGCTGAAGAAATTCTTCCGGTCCTAATCTCCCGAAACAATGGATTTGATGAACCAACACAACAATGGACATAGCAAAAAAGCTGTTTGATACGTGGTGTAGAGATTCGGACGATCGCATTCAGAATGATGTATACAACTGTCTCATCGTGGCAACCCTACTCAAATCTGTATCAAATATTGCCGTCTCAAAAGCTGATGAAGTTCAAGTATAAATATGTATGTCCACTGCCCACCTTCTAGATATCTCATCATAGTTACTATTACAAAATAGAAATTAAATGGTGCTCATATTTTCATCGGCCTACAGTTATGAAAGGGTTGAACTTCACCGGGCTGCAGCGACGTAGCACTTGCACAGTGTGGTATGCTAAGGGTTACAGCGATGTAGCACTTGCACAGTGTGGTATGCTAAGGGTTACAGCGATGTAGCACTTGCACAGTGTGGTATGCTAGGGCTACAGCGATGTAGCACTTGAACAGTGTGGTATGCTAACAAATCGTTTAAAATCTAATTTTTTTCATCTGCCCGTAGTTCAAGTTGATTTAAGAATGGCAAAGCCGCTCTCTCAATCGATTTCATATTGTTATTGTTGTTGTTGTTGTTAACTGCATTGGCATCGATCGCTCTGAGTCACTCCACACTTGGTGTCACGCCAGAACTTAACTGGAATAGTTTGGTTTGTATTAGAGCAGTGGACGTGCTAGTTTAAAAAATACTAATTCTTGTGGCAATAGCACATTTGGCTCGGCGCCAATAGTTGCGTTTGCACCTTTGCGTGTGTTGAGTTTTGGAGTGGGCCTTCATCTGGTATACTGTGCTGAGCTGTAAATCTGAGCCGGGCAGATGGTATACTGTGCTGAGCTGTAAATCTGAGCCGGACAGATGGTATACTCTGCTGAGCTGTAAATCTGAGCCGGGAAGATGGTATACTCTGCTGAGCTGTAAATCTGAGCCGGGCAGATGGTATACTATGCTGAGCTCTAAATCTGAGCCGGGCAGATGGTATACTGTGCTGAGCTGTAAATCTGAACAGGGCAGATGGTATACTGTGCTGAGCTCTAAATGAGCAGGGCAGATCTAAATTGGGCAAATGGTATACTGTGATGAGACTTAAACTGGGCAAATGGTATACCGTGCTGAGATCTAAACTGGGCAAATGGTATTCTGTGCTGAGGTCTAAACTGGCCAGATGGTATACTATGCTGAGACTTAAACTGGGCAGATGGTATACTGTGCTGAGCTGCAATCTGGGCAGATGGTATACTGTGCTGAGCTGCAATGTGGGCAGATGGTATACTGTGCTGAGATCTAAACTGGGCAAATGATATACTATGCTGAGGCTTAAACTGGTCAGATGGTATACTGTACTGAGGCTTAAAATGGGCAAATGGTATACTGTGCTGAGGCTTAAAATGGGCAAATGGTATACTGTGCTGAGGCTTAAACTGGCCAGATGGTATACTGTGCTGAGGCTTAAACTGGCCAGATGGTATACTGTGCTGAGGCTTAAACTGGCCAGATGGTATACTGTGCTGAGGCTTAAACTGGCCAGATGGTATACTGTGCTGAGGCTTAAACTGGCCAGATGGTATACTGTGCTGAGGCTTAAACTGGCCAGATGGTATACTGTGCTGAGGCTTAAACTGGCCAGATGGTATACTGTGCTGAGGCTTAAACTAGCCAGAAGGTATACTGTGCTGATGCTTAAACTGGCCAGATGGTATACTGTGCTGAGGCTTAAACTGGCCAGAGGGTATACTGTGCTGAGGCTTAAACTGGCCTGATGGTATACTGTGATGAGGCTTAAACTGGGCAGATGGTATACTGTGATGAGGCTTAAACTGGGCAGATGGTATACTGTGATGAGCTGCAATCTGGGCAGATGGTATACTGTGATATCTGCAATCTGGGCAGATGGTATACTGTGATGAGGCTTAAACTGGGCAGATGGTATATTGTGCTGAGCTGCAATCTGGGCAGATGGTATATTGTGCTGAGCTGCAATCTGGGCAGATGGTATACTATGTTGAGTTCTAAATATGACAGATGGTATACCGGTACTGTGATATTCACATCATACGCTCAGGGCCGTAATGAGGAAAGACTATGCCAGGGGTGAAGTCTGAAAATGGCGCCCTCAGTAAATAGAAAAAAGTGCCGACCGTAGCGGACTTTGGCGCCACTTGTCTTTGTCCACTAAAGTGGATCTTATCGTTGAATGGACTATTTAAGTCCTTGCTAAAGGCGGTTTGGGTCCACACATAGCTGTTCAAACTAACACTTTGGCGGTTCTACTATAGCCCACAACATGCAAGTTAAGCTATATTATTTTATAATATGAAATGGCCCGTCTGTTAATACAGTAAATATCAGATACGCCCTTCATGGAGACCAGACAGCCAAACACGGATTTTTTCACTATGTTTAGGCAGCAATTCATAGTCGGATCTGTCAATAGTACTCAATACTAACGGCTAAGGTAGGTAGGGGCAGGTGCCAGTGAACCAAAGGTATATAAACTGTGCCTGAGGATGCCGTTCATTATGGGTCTACGAATAAATGCCCTTCATTATAATGCACCTACAATGGATGATATAACATCCCCCCCCCACACACATGTCGTATGTACTTACAATTAATATTCATGTACATGGTTCTATTTTCTTCCCCTCTGTATCACTTAGGACATTGTTCTCTGCCTAAGAGACAGTATATTCAACGTTATGAGCTGAGCTAAGTTGTTTCGTTTCTCCCTTATTTTAAACTTGCCATCGTTTGTTTCAGCTGCAGAAGAAAGCTGTTGGTCGACACGCTTGTTGTTTTGTGGTGCCCTCTATCTTAAAGTGTCTTTCTTGTTTACTTATTTCAAAAGTTGATCGCACAGGAGTCTCTACCATAATATTCATGTTAGCTAGTGGGGCTAATGGTTTAGTAATGTTTTACGCCCGCACTGATGTGTGTGTGTGGGGGGGGGGGGGCGCTATAATCACTCACTGCAATTCCCATTCATGTTGATATTTCCTGACTTAATGTGCAGCCGTGCAAGGAGAATGTTTTGGATTCTATTGGAGGAATAAAGAAACCTAAAAACAATGAAGCCCAAATCACACACAAACATAGACATTTCTTTTAAAGAGTTGACCAAAACACTCCAGTCTTATGCCCGCATTCCACACTACGACCTCGGGCTTACTGCAACAGGCAGGAAACGGAGTCAGACATTCGAAGGGTTTTGTATTGTCATTCGTACATTGTCAGGGCTAGACAAGGTCAAGGACAGGACCACTGTGGGCACTTTGGCACTACAGGTAAATAGTTGAGCTTTGATCTGGCTTCAATTTAGTCTTCTGGCCACAAGATCTTTCTCATTCTTTGCTCATAACTTTAAGAAAGGTTTTTTTAAAAGGGATAGGATAAAAACAAGTCCTTGAAGCCTAGAGCTAACACTAACCAGAGAAACATGGGCACATCAGTTTTCAATGAAGGGTTGAAGAATTTTGATGAAAATGAAGGATTTTCTACCTCAGAGTTTCCGAAATCTTTTTTAAATTTATTTAACTCTTTTTTTTAAATAATTTTAAAATTTATTTTTTAAAGTTTTATTATTAAATGTTCAATATTACTCTAAAAAATATTGAAATGAAATTGTTCAATGTATGAGTTGAGGGGATTCACAGTTGAGGAATCTTATTATATATACCCATAGTGTTGCTTTATTCCTTTGTTTCTCAAACAGGCCAAGTGCCTCCCCTAAACTGAAGGAATCTGCAGAAATCATACAAGGTTTTTTGAGATATAGAACTAATATTAAATGCAAAGAAAGATGTTAATAAGGATACACATTAATTGCTTTATTGGGTTTCCCAAGACATGCTTATTTTCTTTCAGGTTTCTGAAACAGCAAAAAGGTTGAGTTTTTTCTGCACATGTCTCGTGGCCTGTTGTTTTAACACAAAAACCTTCCATCTCTGTTGTGTCCACAGCTTGAACAGGGTAATGTCCAGTATCAAGTGTTGGTCTGTCTCTATGACATCACATACAGACAGTTTTTTGGCAGGCAATGGAAAGGGCCAGTGGTGGCACCCAGGGGAAACAAATTGCAGTACAATAAGGTTAATGTCAGATTGTCCATTTTATAATACTGAGCCCTCAAGAGCCTGATAATTTTCTTTTAGAGGCAGACGTGTTTGAGACGGTACATACAAAATTTCAACAGCATTTTTTAATATTAAAAAATTGTAGAATTTTTTTAATAGAAATATTTTGCCCTATTCATTAGCTCCCAATTTATGCTGTATAATTGACAGAGGTATTCCTATCATGTGTTATTATCAACATTTTACCAAAATATCCTATAGACAAAAAAATGGATTCAGGCCAAGAATACAATGAAACTTATTTGGGACCTGTATCCAAAGGTTTAAGTTATATCATATTTTGCAAGTTGTTTTGGTTCTGAATATTAATCCTGTATTTCTTTGGGTCTTTTATTTTCTGAACACTTTTTAGAGCCTGTATTTCCACACCAGCATAAACAACATAAATGTGGTGGCTGTTATCGAGGTGGTTGCTCACACTATAGACACAGATGGAAGACCACACAGAGTTTCTTGTGGGTGGGGGTTTATGCGCCCTTTTAATCACGAGGGAGACTTGCCGGACAGCTCCAGGGGGATTCAACCAACCACTCAAAAGTAGGAATGCTACTAGAGCATTGAAATTCACTTTAAAAAAAATTTAAATGATCAATTTCTTTTAGCTGGCTAAAGATAACACGATTTTTATGTTTTAAAGCGAATATATTTTTCCTATCTATTGGTCTTATAATTGGCTTTAGGATGGTTTTGTCACATAACAAAAAACAATATAGAAATTTTATTGTGTCATTTAATTATTATTTTTCCTCAGAATTCCTTTATATCATGGAACGCCACGTGCCTTGTATTTCCTTGAGGATCCAATAGAAAGTAATCAATTCATCCTTATCTTAAGATTATTATATATTTCACCTACCCAGAAAAATAATTCTGAATCTTTTATCCTTATTTATAAATATTCAATAATAACTAATCCATTGGTTTTTTTTAAAAATTACATCAGCTGAAGTGGCTTCAACAAACATGTGCCTGTAATTGATTTATTAATACGGATAAATGCTTCAGTCTTAATAGGCTTAGATTTTTTTATTTTTTGGGTAAAGAAATTTAGATGTAGGGTGTTCATTTAAAAAAAAATTCAATTAATGAAAATAATTTTAATTAATTTTAATTGTTCTTGTATATCCATAACATTGTTTATATTATTTAAAAAAAACAGCACAACTTTATTACTGTTTATCTATATTACTAACTTGACAGACAACCCCTTGCTGACCACTATTGAAGAATGTCAATTGAGCTGTTCTGTCATGTCCCAGAAATCATTGCTGGGTATCATGCATCTATTACCTGACAACACCCTGGTGGACTCTCATGATATTGTTCCTGGAATGGTGGATGCTCCTGGTTGGTACTTTTTACTCAGGGCAATAAAATTAAATCTAATTTTTAATTATGGATGATGTGATTTTGTTGCTACTTAAACAGTAGACTAAACTGGTGTAAGCACTGGGGTATGTCCAAATTTTTGGAAAACAGATCAGCTTGCCTGTGGTTGACACCTACTTTTTCCAATTTGGGTTGGTTCCAAAATCTTGTTTGTTGTTTTTAAACTCAATGACATTAAGTTGAATAGGGCTAATCAAAGCCGACCTTATAATATAGTTTTGAAAATTAAATGTATACTTTTACTCAGAATATTTATTTCCTTTCAATTCACTGTATCGTCCCCCAAACCACGTTTACTTAGCCAAACTTTGACCAAAACAAATCATATGAAAGGCAAAAATGATTTGAACTAATCCATTTGCTCTTTTCTCTCCAAAAATAAATATTTTTTTCCTTTGTGTTCGTACCCCACTGAGAGAGAGCATACATAAAATTTAATCAACAGAAAAAATAAAATATAAAATCTTCCTACAAATCAGTTTTAATAATAACTTAAATGCACAACTAATTTGTGCAAATAATCAGCTGTTGTCAGATGCCTAAATTATAACAAATAATAAACTACGAAACTTTAATGTGTAAATATTTTAAATTAAAAAATTGCTTGAGTTAAGTTTATTGAGTTAAGTTTGTACTGGACATATGAATTTTTTAAATGGTTTTACACTGAAGCTACACTACTTATTAAAAATATTTGTGCTTATGCCTGTTAGAGTGCTTGTTCTACAAAGCAACTATCAAGCATAATTTGATTTTATATGTAAATTAAGGGTCCTATAGTCATTATACACAAGAAATTAACTTGTCCCTTTCTATTGTTTTTTGCAGGATCAGACAGATTTAAAACTCCTGGTCTTCTAAACCAGGTGCCCATAGTTATTGATGGCTTGAATATCCGCCTGCATCCAAATGTTGACAAGTTTGAAGCCGAGCTGTGTGAGCTGATGAACGAGGATAAGTCACTTCGAGAAAACCGCCAACTGGACACTGCCCAAGTGTCCATTGTTGAGAGGAGACTTCAAGTGAGTTATTGATATTAATAACACTGCAGCCATTTAGGTTTAAGAAAATATATCTGATTGAACCACAGCATGAAATTGATAGACGTATGTAGATGTAATTTTTGAGTGTGTGAAAATTTGAACTTATGCTGTAATGGTGTTCAGTCAATGGAATTATAAGTGAAATAAATTAATTTCTAACAGACTAGAAATGAACAAACAGTGTTTATCGCTGCGCTCATTTCCTTCTTTAATTCTAGAAAACAATAATTTGGAAGAATGGATTACAAGAAAGACCTTGTTTGTTTTTAGTGTGAAAATTAATTGGACAAATAAAAATAATTTTTTTCACTTTTGCTACTGGCACTATTTCAATATTAACTAGACAAGAAAAATTGAAGTATGTAAAACACATGAGAGAAGTTACAAAACAAATCAGATGATATTAGAAATAGCTAAGCCATCCATATTAGGGTAGGTTATGTTGAATGTTTTTAAGCTGCTTATCTAAAAACCATTTCCATCTTATTCTAGGTTGGTGTACACAACGGCTGGTGCTATATTGAAAAGCCAAATGTATTCCAGCTTGAAAAAGTGTCAGGCAATGAGAGTAAGAAGCCTGCAGCCAGTCCCACAATTAGGCGAAGCAGTCGTTATCATACAAGGAGAAACAGCACAGGATCATCAGTGTGAGTTTACAGAGTTTACTCAATGAAAATTTTAACATGGTACCAACTGGCTACACTTCCAACAACCCAAAACTATCTCATCTTTGAGTGAGCTCAGGACCCATTAACTTCATTAGCTCATTATTGTTCTATTTTATATTTTTTTGTATCTTATGTAAAATAAAATTTAATTGAAAAATTTTTAGAAAAAGTTTTAAAAAAATATATAACACATTTCTAAGCATAATCAGTTTCAATTAATTTCTTAAATTAAAAAATAAAAAATCACCACTGTCCATTAATTTGTTCTTATTCAGCACATTGAACAGTGGTCATGCGATCTTAGTGCTAAAGAATAAGATTGAAATACGTGAACTGCTTGAGGATCCCTTGTGTTCAGTTGTTTTCACACTGGAGTATGTCATAGGAGAGCCACTATCAGCACAGGAAAGAAAGGTTAGAGGTTACGTGTTTTAGTTATTAACACTGCTTTGCCAATAATAACAATTAATTTTTTTAAAAAGGAAAAACTTTTGAACATTAACATAATGCTTAATGCTTGTTCGTGAAATGTTTTTGAGAATTCATAAATTTGAAAAGAAAAACGGCCAATTATAAGAAATTGAAATAAGTTTAACTGATGTTTGAGTGCTCTCACTTGGACTTTTTATAATGCTGAATAAGTTAAATGATATTGCTGTGTAATATTTTGTAGTAATGCAGAGGGCTTTTGGTACCTATGTATTGTCACAAAATTGTGATTGCTTCGTTCTATAGTTAAAAAAAGGACCAATGTCTGACTAGAAATATTACTCTATCACCTGGAACGAGGATGAGTTGATTAAACCATCAAGTTTTGATGGTGTAACCCTTATGTTAGAACTGCTTCTACTGGAAATATTGCTGCTATCAGTTAAAACATGTTTCTACATCTTGAATTTTGTTTGGATTAAAAAAAAAGGTTCAGAATGATGAATACATTATTATTTCTGATGAGATAATTTTAAAAGAGAAGAATTGACTTTAGTTAAATGTTTGATATATATTTTTTTCTACAGTATTAATAGAATTATAAGTTGAGTCTTTTTATTTGCATTGTTCACCAGCAAACACACAGCCTGACTCGTGCATATACTCGTACAGTTCATGTACGTTGGACCACTTGGACACCTTTCCTACACCCCAACACACAGGATGTAACCATGGCTTTGGTGGGTGGGCCGCTGAGATCCCCAGATGATGCCCTTGTGTACAAGATTCCAACAACCTCCATGCAGGATGAGAACACTGCCGTAGCTGCCGGGGGACTCTTAGCATTTCGATGGGCTAGAGATGGGGTAATTTTATACATAATCTCAGATTCTTAGTACAAGTTGTTAATCTATCTAAAGTCACAATATTGTAGACCATTGTTTATCAACACCAAATCCAGGGACCAAGGCTGGCAGTATCGGCACTGTGGGGTAATTAGTTGTTGCTTATTTTCTTAATTACTGCCTCTCTTGTCCTAATGGGCGTTAAGGGTTTGAAATAATTTTTTTTGTTGCTACCATGGACTGATTTATTAAGAAGAGAAAATTAGACGATGCCACAGCTGATGACCAAACTAAAACTCAGAATCAGTCGACTGAAGCTACAGTTAGTACCTCTTTATGTGAGTCACAGCTAGTACCACATAATGTGAGTCACAGTTAGTACCACGTCATGTGAGCCACAACTAGTACCACGTCATTGGAGTCGACAGAAGCTACACCTAGTACCACGTCATGTGAGTTAACTGAAGCTACACCTTGTACCGCATCATGTGATTCGACTGAAGCTACAGCTAGTTCCACGTCATGCAAGTCAACTGATCCTACAGCTAGTTCCATGTCATGTGAGTCGACTGAACCTACAGCTAGTCGCCAGTTTGCCAAACTTTGTGAAAGCATGGAAGCGGACCATGTCACACTTATCAAATACACAGACATACAATGGCTATCTCTTAGAAAAGTTTTATCTTGTTTCTACGAGCTCAGAGAGGAGATGCTGATGTTCTGTTCTCATGAAAACTTAAAGGATTTCGAAGAAGTAATGAGCAACTATTGTTGGTGTTTCAACCTAGCTAATCTGGCCAATATATTTCATGAGTTGCACATTTTGAACATTGGAATGCAAGACCGCAAGGAAAATAATCTTGACTTCAACTGACAGAATAAAGCCATTTCTGAAGAAATAGAAGCATGTCTCTAGTGGACATTTGGAAATGTTTCCCAGTGTTGTTCCAAGAAATTACCAAGAAATTATTCCATTGATTGTGACCCATTAGGATGCCCTGTACAATAGTCTCAGCAAATATTTTCCACCAATATCTGTTGAGCAGCACAACTGGGTTAGAAATCAGAATGTGGAATTTGAACCACGCCAAGGACAGTATATTTTTAAGTAAATGGAGGAGCTTGTTAGCGCTGCAAGGGACAGAATGCTGAAGCTAAATCATGCAGAGTTGAGCTCTGATGCGTTTTGGTTACTTGTTGAAAATGACTACGTGGCTAGTGGCTATCGCTGAAAAAGCTTTTTGACTTCTGTTGCAGTTTTCAACCTTTATGTGTGTTTTCGGATTTTCTGCTTAACCACCATCAAACTTAAAAAAGGAGACTAACTTTTGCTTGTCAAAGATGAAATTCAGAAGTCTCTCTCAAATATTTGCCCAGGAATTTAACTGCTTTTAGAAATCATTAAGCGCAAGTTTCGCCCTGAAATGTCTGCTACTGCTAACTGATGCTAACAGGTAGCAATAAAGTAACTTAGTAACTAGAAATATCAGCTACTCTGGCTACAATTACAGTGTTACACACATACACATGTATCAATCTACTTGTTTTCATGCATAAGGAAGTATAGGAAAATTATGTTTCTGTCCATCTGGAATAGAGCTAACTCTTCAGAAAGAAATCTAAACACTCCAAAGAGTTCCATTCCACTCTGGCTTAACTAATCAACAAAATTAAACCATAAATTTGAGAAAAAAGTACGTTTGGAATACTAGGTGGAATTAGGCAATTCTGAGACTGTTTTTTGCTAGCTTTTAATATAATTATTGTGCAATGCCTCAAGATCTGTACCTATTGTCTAATTGACATTTAAAATTGTAAATATATAAAAATCCCAGGAGGCCATAAGCGCTGGTCCTATGACTCTTGCTGTACCAGCATACCCAGCCATTGGCTCGGCCATCTCATTGCGCAGTGATGTAAGTGAAGGCATGATGTATGAGACTGGTGCATCAGGTGACCCAGTCCACAGAAAACCTCCTCAATGGAAAAACAGGTGTGTATCTGCTACAGTGCCACTTAAAGGCATTGACTTGTCAATATTAATGATGTACTTTGCTATATATTTTAACAAAGTGTAGATAGATCTCTCACAGAGATTTGCGAGGCTCAGAAAGTATTAAAAGCCATTGTTCTACAATATAGAATTTATTTTATCATAAATTTTCATGTAACAGTAGAATATTAGTAAAATTTATTAAACATATGTATGTTCCAGAAATATATGAATTTATTGCCTACTTTCTTGAATAGCTCTGTATTCAAATTATATATTCAGTAGCTTAAGCATAAAATCATTCAGGTATAATCAAATCACTCTTCGTGCATACCAAAAATTATTTTTAAATGAGTTCATTTTTTATGACCAAGGTATAGGGCCTCTGTTAGATTAGAATTAGGGGAAACTTTGTGTCTATGTCATATAAAAAGTATTTCAATAAATGCAGCCCATCAATAAGTTTTAAAAGGGAAATTACATATCTTTAGATTTTAAAAAGAGTTGTATGTTTTCAAAATTTCTTGTTTGACAAAAATAGTATCAACTTTTTATGCAGTAAAGAGCAATAAAAATGTAGCAAAAATCATCCCATTTAGATAGATAAATTATATAAGTTGACATAAACGAGAATTCAAGTAACACCAAATATAAAGATAAAACCATCAAATTCATCCTCATGTGTTGAATCTGAAAGTTTATATAATTTTTATCTTTATTGTAACAAACCTGAAAATAAAAAAACTCAAGATTCTTTAATTCTTTTAATTATTTTTATCATATGACAAAAATGTTTTAAATGTTTAAACAGTACTTTTAAGGAAAATGTCAAGTCTTATCAGATTTTTCTCAGTAGTTTCTGTCAATCATTAGGATGTGAATATTGAAATCTTTCAGCCAACATCGCCAGAGTGTTTTTTCCACTAGAAGTCACCACAGTTTAGGTGGAGCATTTTCAGATATGCCAGGTTTTTTACCAAACCGGTTAGCCAGAACAATAGTTTACTGTTTGCTGTGGTCTGAATCTAATTTAGAAGTGATGTTATTATAGAAATCTTTTGTTTTGCTTCAGTATGCGTTACCCTTTTCCTCAGTTTCCAAAATTGTTTCAAAATTTTTATTTGTACATGTAACATGCTTTTTACTTCAAAATGTTTGTTTTATCAAACCGAATGATAAAGGGAGTTTACCAAATGCCCTCAATTCTCACACCATAGTATTATGCACATTTTTTCCATCAGTCTGTTTGATTTAATGTGCTTGAGATCTTATGACCTCTCTCTCAATCTCTTAATTTTTTATTTGTTGGTATTTTTAATGCCCTGAAAAGCTGTAAACTACTTGTATTGAGCTTGTTTCTGTTACAACAATAACTAATAAAGGTGTAGTATTATATAGGCAATACTACTGTGTTTTATATGTTTGGGATGCAGACCATATTTTTCACTGTTCTGTGGTCAGAAATAGCAATAATTTGATGCTGCTTAACATATTGATGAAAGTTATAAATTATTAATAATCTTCTACATCACTGAAAACAGTAGTAAATCTTATCACTGCAGTCAAAGAACAATCTTCTTCCTCACAGCATCCATAACCAGTTATACCACTGTAACCAGCCTCATGTAGGTGCTACCTCCCCTGATAAAGATCCAGACTTATCCAGCTCTAATGATCACATGACTTATTGCTCCTCTTCAAGCTCAATGCTAAACACAATGTGTGACTAGTTTAGAATTAATTCAATTGGGAATTTAACATGTTATTTCTATTTGTGTTTGCCCTTTCTTTTTTATTAGGCAATTTACACTTCAGCTATCTGCATTGAAATTTAGAAGAAGAAAATACTAATTGGAAAAAATGAATCTTAAGAGAAAATAAAAAGATTCATTTGAATAATAAAATTAAACAAGGTTCACTTATTTGCATAATCATGGAAGATATCTCTGTTTAACAAAACACCTAACAAAATTGAAGTCTTTATCTACTTCAGTCAAAAAAATTCAGACATGATTAAAAAAATTTTCCCATTTAATTTTTATTGTCATTTCATTTTTCTGTTAAACTAATGTTTAGCCTTTAAAAAAAAATAAATTTGTAAAATTATTTTGTTTTACCATTAATTAATTAAAGTAAAAAAAACAACTAAAAATATATTTCATAAAACTGTAAAAAATTTGTTACTTTGACAATTGTTATAATTGTTTAAATCTATTCTACCATCATAAAAGTATATCAAATTTTATATCAATAAAATGTTAAAAAAGATTCAGTTAAAGCTGATTTAGAGATAGTTAGTTTACTAAATTTTGAATTTTGTAATGACAGTTTTCAAGGTATTACTAACAGAATACAATTTAAATTATCCCTGTTTAAATTGTATGTCAAGCAGCCAACCTTCCATTGGGGGTCCTGCTGCAGCCACTGCCACTGCAGCTTACCCCATACCCCAGTATGCCTATCAAATGCCACAGCACATGACAATCCCTCAACACATGATGCCTATGGGAAACATGTATCCTTATATGTCAGCACCAGCTAATGGCTTGCAGCCTGTGGATATTATGCACATGCATGAGGTTAGTACAGCTATCTGTTTCCTGTCAGCCAACTAATAAATCACTAAACTTTTGGGAAACAGTACCAAAAAAATCTTATTTAAGATTAGGAAGAAGAAAAAAATAGTTTTGAATGGTGTTACCTTGAAAATAAATTAAACTACAGATTATTTGTTTCAAATTAGCTTTTTTACAAATAATTTTGTTTTGGTTTCATTTTTTAAATTAAATTTCTTATCCTCTGATTATTCCTGCTGTAGACTTCAGCTGCTGCTGAGTTACGGGAACTTCCATTCACACCAGTCCATGCTCTTGTTCTAGCTCCAGGTCAACAGCCAAAAGGGTAAATATTTTATTTGCGTGATGATGTGTCTATTTATAAGAATTTCTGTATTTTTCCTAACACATTTTCGTCAATTTTTATTATTCTGTAATATTTCCAAAAGGCTTACAACAATATTGTTTATTGATCTGTCTTTTTCTTACTGATTATTCTCTAATGTTAGATTAGAACAAATTTTCAAATTTACAATAAATCCATAATTAATAAAAACTTCATCTCATAGTTCTTTAATTCCAAGTCAAGCAACCTATTAGTTTAGATATTAACCCCCTCCATCTCTTCATGCCAGTGGTAGAGGTCTCTCAAGAGCTGCTTATGCACGACTGTATGCAGCAGGATTTCCTCCATTGTTAGACCGTAATGGTGATCCACCTGAAGTGATTGACCCACACGGTCAGCATCTAGTGAACTTGACCAAAGAGCAGTTGGACCCACTTCAAGCCAATGAAATCATCTTTCAATTCTTGGCTTTCACCAGGTCAGTTATATAAAGTTCATGTATAATTTACTAGGGGTGTCTTAAGTGATGTCACAGCAGGCGACTCAACTATGGTAAATCTGTATATTTTTTCAGCTTGTTTACAAGTTTTACACATTTTGTATTGTTCAATTTTCATTCAAGTAAAAATGCATGTGTTAAATCTGCTACGGATTATTTTAGATGTCTTGTGTTTAAATTGTTAAAATTCTTGGTTAAAATATCTATTTATTTGCTGAAAAGGAATATGTACAACGTAATAAAAAAAAAATTTCAATTATTTTGATCATTAAAAAAATCTTGTCTTATTTTATTTCTGTACTGTAACTCACAGTTGGTTTCATTTACTTTGTACAATTTGTTAGGAATCATTTCCTGATCATCACCTATTTTATATGTTTACTATTGAAATGATGGTTACCGGAAATTTGATCGAAAGAAATTTCGTCGACGGTAAATTGATCGACGGTAATTTGATAGACCGGAAATTTAGTCGAATCTTTTTTTCAGTTCACACATTAAGATTTTCGTCAAATTTCTTTTTGAACGCACTATTCTATATAGTAAAACAAAATAATTCGTTCAAAAAGACATTTGAAGCAAAATTTAAACGTAAAAACGGAAAAAAAGATTCGACCATATTTCCGTTCGATCAATTTACCATCGACGAAATTTCTTTCAATCAAATTTCCGGATACGTGAAATGATGGTTGAACTCTGCAGGTTTTTGATATCAGCAGGCATGATCTCCTTCAGAAGGGCAAAAGAAATATATTTCTTGAGTCCATGTGAACCAGTGCATACTTACTATTTTCAAATTGTGCTCATTAATGGAAGCACAGATATTCATTCTTATATAACCAACAATTATTATACCTATAATTTTTTTATTTATATTTTTGAAGAATTTTAACCAAAAAATGGTATATGCTCTGTCATTTTCAGAGAGCCATTTCTGGACTTATCAGGGGCTCAAGGCAGTGTCCATCCTGCCACTGTTTTCTTTACCTTTCAATTCTATCGCTTCCCACAGGTTACCACAGAGAGGTTAGTTGTATTTTTATAATGCTATTGGTATGTCAGGTATTAATAAGGCCCCTATTGATGTGACTTTGGGATTTTGACCTTTACCTTAGTTAATCTAGATTAATGACCGTATTTATTAACATATAACACACACTTTTTCTCCCTAAAAATAAGGGGAAAATGATGTGTGCGTGTTATATGCCGATATAATGATAAGGACCCATAGTACATAGCGCATAGCAGCACGAATAGTACGTGTTATACGCTTTTGCGTGTTATACGCCAATAAATACGGCATATTTCTGAACTTTAAGAAATGCTGACAAATGAAAAAGATACTTTTTTTTTGTAAACATGACTTTAAAATAAAAATCCCAGTTATCATGTAGGCATAAGTTGTGGTGAAAGGCCTACATTTTGTAAATCATATAAGAAAACCTGTGATAATTAAGGAGCTAAAATTATGAAAGAAATTACTAACAACAACTTGATGACCATATAAAACGTTTCACATTGCAATCTGCCTCACATTATTTTTATGATTCTGTCTCCAGAATGCTTTTAGCCAAAGCCCAAAATGATTTATCCTCACATCCGCAAGCTGTGCCATTTATCCTACAGAGACTCAATCCTGACGGCTCTGTCATGGAAGGTCCACCGGGCCTCGAGGTACAGATCTGGCTTATAATTAGAAAAGTTGGTTGATGATAAAACCTCTTGCTTTTGAGATGCACCTAATCTGAAAATCAACAAAATAAATGTTATCATTTAAAAGAAAAGTCCTTTTTATTTGTTTTATTTTACATGTTCAATGTTGAAAATTAATTTATTTATTTAGGTGAAGTATCCTATTGACCCAACCTACCTAAAGCCAGGGGAGGTCAATCTGTTTTGGCAACACTTAGCGAGACAAACGATGCATATAGATGTGTGGGATGGAGATTCATTGCTGCTCCTTGGTTCAGCTGCTGTAGAGCTCAAGGTAAATTTTTGATGTTTTTATAACTTATATTTCAAAATGCAAATGTTTTTGTTTTTATTTCTTTTCTAAATCCATTTTCTATTTAATAGTCTGAATCTTTAAAAGTATTATTTGTTGAGCATGACTACACAGCATGAATAATTTAATTTAAAGTTTCTTGGGAAAGTCTTGATATTTTGAAATGTTGACATTTTTTTAACTGCATCAATTAACTAATAGTTAATATTATTTTTCAGTACTTGTTTCGTGGAGGGAATGAAGCTGTACAGACTACATTTGAACTGGACGTACTGGCTACTGAATACCAAGAGGATTCTGGGGCTCTTACGGGAGACATGATTAGAGGAGGCAGCATCCGTCCTGTAGGAGTCAACTGTTTGAATCGAGGACGTCTACATTTTAGGATGGCTAATATTGGATATGTTGTGGACAAGAAGAAAATTGGTCAGTGACTTTTTAAAAATCATTTGGGTTCTGTTTGGTGCTCAGGTATTATATTTAATTTAATGTTTCTGAATACTTTGTAAACAAAAAAAAATGTGTTTATTAGTTAGTGAAATTTTGCTCTAAAGCCCAATGCTAAGAATTAATAAAAATGCTTTTTGAGAACCCATTAAAGGGAAGGATACTTATATATATAAAAATTATGAAAGTGCAGCAGGTCAGTTCTGCATATATATATATATATATATAGATATATATAGATATATATATAGATATAGATATATGTATGCAGAACTGACCTGCTGCACTTTCATTATTTTTATTTTGGAAGAAATATAAAATGACATGATTTCAAAATTTACTAAAAGTCTCACCATTGTTAATACAAAATTTCCAAATTATAATTTTTTTCCTCTAAAAAAACAACTGATATACAGATCTCCAACCCGTTCCCAGTAAGACCCAGGTTATTGTGTCTCAGACTGCTGGTAACTCTTCCTACAAAGGTGGAAGTTTGACTACAGTTATTCCTCCTTCTGGTTAGTATCAGTATTGCTGTTAGAGTCTTGAAATAAAAAGGCAAAGCGCCTTCAAATTATATTTTAAAGGCTGCGGTTATTCTTTCCTGGGTACCAGAAGTGAGAGATTGGGATTAAAAAACTATTTAAAATATTATTATTGGGTTTGTAAGACAAAATGAGGTACCAAATCAAAGATAATTGAATGGACTATATGTTTGTAAACTTAATTCTTCAGTTTAACTAAAATAAACTACCACATATGACATCCAAATAGCATTGGTCTAATGGGACCCTGGTGCAAATGGCGGCGCTACGTGTCCGGGGCCATTTTGACCAAATGCTATTCGGATGTCATTTGTGGTAGTTAATTTCAGGTAAACTGAAGAATTAAGTCTACAAACATATAGTCCATTCAATTATCTTTCATTTGATTCTTCATTTTGTCTTACAAATCCAACAATAATATTTTAAATAGTTTTTTAATCCCAATCTCTCATTTCTGGTACATGGGTAAGAATAGCCACTTCGTATTTTAAAAGAGGCTTCCGTTTTATATTTCATTATAACATAGAACTTTTAGAAGGATAGGATGAGAGGAATTATAACTTGATGGTTACTCTTTTCCCCCAGGCACCAAAAAGGTGAGGGTTGCCAGGGCCAAGCATTTAGCAGAGAACACAGAAGTGGCTTCCCTGCTGTTCTCTGACCAGAAAAAACTAGAGGCTCTAACACTAAATGATGATGACGAGCTTGTCCCCAGGGAAGGAGATGCTGAGAGGCAGAGGAAGTTAGCACGACTCCAAGCTGTGAAAGCAAAAGAAGCAACCGAGGAAGACAACAAGAATGTTACAACAATTATAGTGAGTTGATGTAATGCATCATTTTTGAGTCCACAATACTGTGCTCTCAAAAGAATCTGACATTATTAGCAGATAAAATAAGAAATATTGTTTACAAAATTAGTTTTTTCAACTAATAATAAATTTTTTTTTAAAAATCAATAATTAAGCCTTTATAAGTTTCTTTAACTTGTAAAACTTTTATCAACATTAACAATGAAATGTTTAAAAAAAATTTTAGTCTATATTTTGTTGCAATTAAAAATTTTTTTTTTTTTGTTTATACTTATACCAATTTTACTTCACAAACACAAAAGGGTTACAGAAAGGAGAAAACAGAACGTGCGCGAGACTTCAAGACCATGGATATCTATCGTCATCAGACCAAGCGTGATGGCATTATCACAATGTTAAACACTTCCATCACAACAGAGCACACCATTTTCCCATCCTTTGGTACAGCAGAATTTTTTGAGTTTGTTTTGAGAAATCCGTTCAACCAAGAGGAGACCTTGACTATAGAAATCAATGATCCAGAGCTGTTGTGAGCACACTTTGGCTACTATTTTGTATATGCCTTCATGTATAAATTAATGAATAGAATTAGATATATTTCTTGCCGATTAATTACCAAATGTTTGTTTTAATGTATATATTTTCACTGTCATTAGTAAAATGCTAACAATATTTAAGCCAATCTTTATTTGGGCAAGATTTTATTTTTCTGTGAGGCAGGATTTTAGAGATAGGTTTACCATTATAATTTCCAGGAGGGATGCACCAATAAATTCTTCTCTGGACCAGCACTAGATAATTGCAGCTAGACAGATCATTATAGTAAATTTATTAGTCTCTAATTTTAATTCTCAAGTGGTAAATATGGTGAAGATAGACCAGATTGCATTTTTAGTGCACACCTTTTCAATACATTTTTTTTAAAGCTTGATTGTTGATGCTCGTGAATGGCGACACTACAAACAGCTGTGCCAGTTAAGCACTCCATTAGAGGAGGGAATGTTCACATCAGCCAGCAGTGACCAGAGCAAGCCCCAAATCTTTCTCAGACCAAAGGAACAAGTCAATATTCCACTCAAGTTTCAGACATTTAAAACAGACATGTCTGTGCAACCTCAGGTTGGTCTTTAGCATAGACTTCCAAATACATTTTTTGCTATGGAAGTATTTCATATAAATCTGAGATTTTTATTGCATGTTGAAAAGTTTTTTTAAATAAGAAATCATAATTCAAAATTGAGTCAATAATGTTACCGGTATCTTATTATCATAAAAATGCCATATTTTTCATCAATGTTTTTAACATCTCTATATTTTCAGGGTCCTTCTAATCCATTTAATAAAAGCACCAGACATACAGAAATGGATAAAACTTTAGAATCTAGGATTATCAGGGTAAAATAAGATTATTACTTGATGCCCTCCACAAATTGAAACTGAATTCATCTCCTTTCTTAATTTTTATCATAAACATTAAATTTCTTTATTCTTGGTAGAAACAAATTTCTATAGCTTTGATGAATTTTAATACAATAGTTTTTTTGCTCCATAATCTGCTACAATGTACAGTTTTCTGACCTCTAAATTTTGTTTACATAACTTATTTTATTTATAATGTGTCATATCTAAAAATCTGTAGTCTTGTTACCTTGAGTGTCCTAATTTTATGTAGAGATTGAATATGTTTTTTGTGATAATTTTATTGATTTGTTTATCATTATCCAATGGGTAGGTTTTATTTAGATCGGAAGAAGGCAAAGCTGTGGCTATCCTAAATGTTAGAGTAGAACCACAGCCACATGTAGTCGATCAAACATTCAGGTTTCATCATCCAGAGAACTCTTTTCTAAAGAAATCAGTTCGATTACCTCCCTTTACCACACTCCCAGGTAAAATAAATTTAATGATGATATGAATGATATATTTTTCATGGGAATACGATTTTAAAAAAAAAAAAAAAGTTCATATAACTATAATAGATTCTATAAATAAGATTATTATAATAATTTTACATCACATTAGAAAGTAAAAATATAACTGCTTACTTTAGAACAATTAAATGTGCACAGGTGGCCCAGTAGGTGGCGCAGGAATAAGCCAGGTGTATGTGAGATGTAGTGATCAAAATGTCATCTTGGATTGTAAACCCACACAACCTGGGGAACCACACGACATATTTCTGAAGGTTGGTATCATGATCATTGACCTAAGACTTGTGTAACAATGTTTTTATCCATCATAATGCTTTAACTCTTTTGCTACCAAGTTTCATTCCCTCCAAAATACTGAATTTTTTTTGGTCATGTGATGTGGTTTCTTGAATATTTAAGGCTGCTTGTTCTGGGAAAATGTGCCAAATCCAAACATTTGATCTAATAATTTAACAAGATGACCTGAGTGTGATTTAATGGTATCTCAAAGCATTCCATGATCACTGCACATACATGATTTTACTAATACACTTTTACTTCTTTTATACGACTGTCATAAATAAAACAAATCAAAATAATTTAAACCAATTTTATTAATTTCCTTACATTAAGTTAAAAATTAATGACGGTAATTAATTATTTTAATTTGGTAGAATGTTCATAATCAAAATTATCGGTAGCTGTATTCTTGTTAGTAGAAAGTGTCAGTAAGTTTGCCACCCTGTCATCCACTATGTTTTATTTCAGGAACTGAATTGCATGGATATAATAAGCATTGATATGAGCTTTACAAATTTTTTTAAAATGAAAAGAAATAATTGCTGATTATTATCACTTGTGCTTCATGTGAACTAATTCAATTTATACTCCTAGTAAAACATAGAAAATATCCACCTATATATAAATATAACTACCCCGTGTAGCACCATGCAATTTAGAATTCAATCTTCTTGCATAATGTGACATATTTTGTACAACATGCAGAGGACACTTTTATTTGCAATATGTACGTTAAAGGTACCAAACTGGATTAAAACATATTTCATAGCTCTGAACTAATGCCATATTTTTTTAAAAAATCCTCCAGGTTGCCTTAGCTGCATCTCCACAAATCAAGCGTTTCTTTGTTTGTGCCTATCTGGACCCATTTTTGTCAAGGCCTGCTCAGATATGGCAGTGCTATGTACATGCCCTTCAGCGAGTGGATGTTACGTGTGTGGAGGGCCAGACTTCTAGAATAGCACTGCTGCTTAAGTGAGTGTTAATCAAAAATTAAATTTTTCAATCAAAAATTTAGCAAAGCTTTTATGTTTCACAAGTAAATTTTTATTTTTTTATTTTCAAATGTCTGGTGTAAAGAGATAAATCATGGATAAGTGTTCTTATTTTTATATTCTATGTTCATAGTTCTTTGTTGAATAATTTTAACTTTGAAAGAATAAATCTATTTATTTTCAATTAATATTTTGGTATAGAATTTTCAATCAATTTCGGTACCTCCTGGTTATATAATTTAAAGTTTTATTTTTGTAAATGTGTAAATATTTATTTATGTTCAAATAATTGAATTGCTTAGTCAAATTAAAACTTGTAATTTTAATTATCATGTTAACTTCATCAGAAATTGTTACCATGTTGAATAAGTCAATATATACATTAGTCTGCATAATTGGTTTATTTGTTATCATTTAAAAGGAATTCAACTGTCTTTATTATATCCAGGGGAACCCAAGCATCAAGAGTAGTCAAGTGTTACACTTCTCATCCCCAAGAGTTACAGATCTCCCCACAAGATCCTTTCATCCTAGCAGCAGGAACAGTTCATGAACTTACACTGGCTGTCAGGCCGCTGAGAACAGGCAGCAAGTTTTTCTACCTGAACGTGGTTGATGTTGAATACCATCAGTTGGTGAGGACATGGCTTGTATGTGCCAGCTGTCGGTCTCCCATTGTCTCTAGGGCCTTTGAGCTGACGCTGCCGGTGGGAGGAGGAAAAAACAGCAGCAAGCGCATAACATACACCAACCCATACCCCATGACAAAAAGATTCAGGCTGTTGTGTGACAGAAATGACCTTCTGCAGTTTAAAGAATCTCTGCTGGAGCTTGAGGGTGGGGCCTCACATGCCATTGGCCTGAGATTTTTGCCTGTCATGCAGCCAGGTGCTGCTGAGATAATGGTGTTTATTAATGATGAGGAGGACAAGAATGAGGAGACATTCAGAGTTACTGCCACTTACAAGTTTATGTAATATACATCATGCAATTTTAAATTACTTTTTCTTTTATAAAGTACACAAATGTAGCAATTTTAATTAAACTTTTAAGACAGCTTTAAAGAAATTGTTAATTTCCCATGAATAAAGATAAACATCATAAGATTTAAGTTCTAAATTTAAGAGTTCACATTCTTGAAAGGCTGTAACTACTAAAAAGTTATTCTGAAATGTCATCACTTATGCCATGGCATTACAGCTTTAATGTTGTAGGAATGCCATTAAAGAAGAAAAAATACCATAATATATATCAGTAGTAATCTTTTTACTGTTACTAGTGTTACCGGTAATGAACTATTTCACTTAGATGTTTGAAAAATAAAGTATAATATTTTAATTAAAATTGTAAGATGACATTACTTCTACCTCACCAATGATTTGTCATTTTGAGTTTAAAAACTTTTTTAAAATTGATTTTGAACAGAGGAATAGTGTTGATAAACCCAGTCAATATAAAATCATAAGATACTGTTTTGTTCATATTTTATAATGCCGTCCAGCAGTTCTTTTGACTGTCAATTGTCTAACAACATTTTATCGAATGTGAATGAAATGACATCTAGATTAATGTATGCATATATTTGAAATTAATAAAGATCAAATATTTTTCATTGTAGTTTAAAACAACTGAGCTTATGACAATTATATTACCAGTTTTCTCAAATTATTCTACATCCACAAGGTACTAAAATTAAATCATGTTCTAGTGTCTCATATAAAATGTAAATATAATTAGTCTGTGATATGTTGTAAAATAGTATATACTCTACTGTGAACAAATGGTTTAGTTTTCATTTAGTCCATCATTTTATAAATATTGTTTTCTGCAGCTTTTTGTTTTAAAATTATTCGTAAACCATATCATTTTATTAAGAATAAAAAATATATGGAATAGGAATCATAAACATTATGTTTGAGATTCTGCTGCTGTTTAATGGGCTTTGACACGTATGTAGTTTCCCTTCTGATGATTGTAGAAATATATATATTTTTTTTAAAAATACATTTTTAGTTACTTTACTTTTGAATATTTCTTAATGTAAGCCAAATACATTTCTATTTTGGCCATTTACAAAAAAATGTGAAAATTGCCTTGATATGTGCACACTTGATAAAGTTCACACGTTTATAAAAATATGCACTTTATTTATTCAACATAGCAGGACAAACGCATATGCCTAACTTTACAACAACTGTGCAGGGGAGTAAAATCTCACTGTTCAATGTAGTCAATGAAATGGTAGTTATATTAATACAATGATGTGCCTTCTGATGTGGCAGAAATATTATGTCTTATAGATCTTTCTCTATAACTTTTTAGTTTCAGCTGTTGTTGATGTAATGATGTTTAAATAATTAAAAAAAATTTAAACAATTACTTTGATTTATTTTGTCATATTTTGTGTATGCATCATGAAATACATATACGTTAAAATTATCAACTGCTGATTTAAAAATAAATTTCTCAAAATGATTTGTTAAAGTTTGAAGTCAAATAAAATTAATTAACATTAACTGCTATGTGATCTTAGCTAGGACAACAGGGGCATAACCCATTACAGCTTGGTAATCAGCTGGATGACACCCCCCAACCCCCACCTATCAAGAAATAAATGGACAAGAGCCTCAAGAAAAGTCAATACTAGTAAGAAAAATGGATGACCAGGTGGGATAGACCCATGTATTAAACAATAGAAATAACAAAGGTGGGATAGTCCCATGTAGCAAACAATAGGAACAATAAAGGTGGGATAGACCCATGTATTAAACAATAGGAACAACAAACAAATTGTGACTATTAACACTCTCATAATAAGTGACTGTCAACACTCATAATAAGTGAATGTCCACACTCTCATAATAAGTGACTGTCAACACTCTCATAATAAGTGACTGTCAACACTCTCATAATAAGTGACTGTCCACACTCTCCTAATAAGTGACTGTCAACACTCATAATAAGTGACTGTCCACACTCTCATAATAAGTGACTGTCAACACTCTCATAATAAGTGACTGTCAACACTCTCATAATAAGTGACTGCCCCATTCATTGTTTCTCATGCATCCGTCCGTCTGGCGTTGTCGAGCAGTAAATCTCTCGAGCTAAACTACGCCCCCCCCCCAACCCACACACACACAGTACATTCCACGCCACGCACCTACCTGGTGGACCCGAGGTAACGTAAACGGACGCTACAACTTGGCTTGTTATTTTGTGCCTAGACGGACTACCGTCATTTGTAAGCAATGATCTAATATATAATATTTCAGTGGATTAATTAAGTATCTAGTAACTAATGAAATATATTTAATAAATGCCAAAATGCCAGGCTTTTATATTTATATTAGTCTATTACAACTTGGCTTGTTATTTTGTGCCTAGACGGACTACCGTCATTTGTAAGCAATGATCAAGTCCTTTTTTTTTTTTTTCCCCTTTAAAAAAAAATTTAATCAATTATCCTTCTCATGAACTTCATGTAGTAGCCTAAATGAACACAACTGCCTGTTTGAAGGGCACAAATTGGTAAACACTTTCGTAAAGTCTAATTAACTATGCGTACAATTATATCGCTTGTGGATTCAATAAATATGACCAAGCAGTAGCGTCACTATGGAGTGCAGGGGGGCGTGGACACAGCAAGGGGTGAACCCTCACAGGTGGTGACAACAAATTGAAATTTTGAGACAGTTTCATAAAAGTAGGGTGCCAACAGAGCAGTGTACCACCAGAGCAGGGTGCCACCAAAGAAGGGTGCAACCAGAGCAGGTTGTCTCCATAAAAGGTTGCCACCAGAGCAGGTTGTCTCCAGAGAAGGGTGCCACCAGAGCAGGTTGTCTCCAGAGAAGGTTGCCACCAGAGCAGGCAGACTCGGGGAGGTGATGGCAAAATCTGAAGCTGGCGAGATCACCGTCCTGGGTAACATCAACACTAGTAACGTCACTGAACCTGTCACCCAACACTGGTAACGTCACTGAACCTGTCACCCAACACTGGTAACGCCACTGAGCCTGTCACCCAACACTAGTAACGCCATTGAACCTGTTACCCAACACTAGTAACGCCACTGAACCTGTCATCCAACACAGGTAACGTCACTGAACCTGTCACCCAACACTGGTAACGTCACTGAACCTGTCACCCAACACTGGTAACGCCACTGAGCCTGTCACCCAACACTGGTAACGCCACTGAGCTTGTCACCCAACACTGGTAACGTCACAGAACGTAACAAAAACACATCACCAGCTACCCGGATGTATTGGACTCGTTAACATTGGATGGCAATTTGAACCAGTTTATAATACTAAAAAGAATAATCTCAGCCTTTTGGATTTCGTCCTGCGAACTCTACATCATCGTCACATTGTGACGATGGATGCCAACAACAACAAAAATTATGGAACCCAGAAATTTTTTGAAAAATTCAAAATGCAAGAATGCATTTTAGTGTACACCCGAATTTAGTTTAGCAACATTCTACACTTAGTTGGAGAGCAACGGAAGAGATGCTAGTTAAAAATGTAGGTGTTTCAAACGCTTTCGCTATATAATAGATTAATCGTGAACTATTTGCATGCTCCCGTTGAATCAATAATTTTTTTTAAAAATGTATAACAGTTTTTTAACGTTTTCATTTTTTTTCTAGCTTAACGTACATCGAGTCCAGTACATTTATTATGGTGCTAATAATAACTATATTTTTAAAAGAATGAGGTCATCATACAATTAAAAATTAAAACCATTCCATACTTTAAAAGTCATGCGTTTATTATGAAATATAATTTGAAAACATGAAAAATTGCTCATCTTTGATACTGAAATAAAAAGTATATAATAAACTAATAAAATCCATTATGGAAAAAAAAAACGGATTTCATTGAAAGCATTTATTTTCTCTTAAGGTTTTGGAGAAATGATGTTTCATTTTTCATACAACATCAAAATTTGGCCTTAATGATGTCACAGTAATTTGAACACTGTTTTTATAATCGATTTCTCTCCCTTTATTGTGCGTGTTCCTTAGAGTGGCAAATCCTTGTTCGCAATGGCTGGTTCTCTGGCTTTTTGATGGGGGAGGAAACAACAGTGATGAACATTACATCACACTCCTGTTTAGTGGTATTCAGACAGTGTTGCTTTCAGAAATTTTCCCCCGGGAGGGCACTTCAGATTTTCGGGGGTGGGGGACACTTTAGATTTTTCGGGGGGGGGGGGGCAGTGCCAGCAGTTCCAGTTGATTTATTGTTGGACATATTTTGGCTCGGCCGGGGGAGGGGGGCACTTGGCTTTCCCCGCCCCCCCCCCCCCCCCCCCCCCCCCCCCCCCCCCCCCGCAAGTCTATCCTTCGTGTTTGGCGGTTTTTTTGTTGTTGTTTTTTTTAAATAAGAAAAGTAATACTGCTCTTCAGACTAAATCCCCATCCCAGCCCCTACACCCCGTGGGGGAGGGGGCAGCCTGCACAGACAATATTCTGGTCTTACTGATAAAATCAGACTGTCTTTATCAAGTCGTGTTNTTTTTTAAAAAAAAAAAAAAAAAAAAAAAAAAAAAATTACAAAAACACTTTCTTTTAAAAAAACCCCCCCCCCCCCCCCCCCATACTCTCCATTGAGTGTCAGTGTGCTCCTTTTTTTTCCAAGGCTTTACCCGTGGCTGACCCAGAAGTTGCCTTCCTCTATGTATACATACGTACAGACGTCGTGACATAGAAAATACCACAATACTTTGGCGAAATGTCTGGTAGACTCTGTCTGTCTGTCCGAGATCATGAAGGTCCTCACACAGACACGTCACAATTGACTCAGGATGTGACAATCCTCTCTCTTCCAACAAAATGTCATAAGCCAAAAATGAAATATGGAGTGCCAAGAGATGAGGTGGCGGGAATGGGCTTAGAGTGAATAATCCTGCAACGCCGGCCTTTAGGGTGTGCGGCCTGTGCCCTCACACAGGGCGCCGTGGCCATAGGGGTGCCTAGGCACCCAGTAAATATTAAAATTCCCTTAGTTTATTATAGTGAAGTGTGAAACCTCGGGTCCGGGGTCGAGAAACGGTCTTCTCACTTTTCGTACCATCGCTTTTCATTCAATGAGTTCTCATACAATGAAAGTTGCATTCTTAATTTGGATACTAACATTGGGGTAGGGACCAACCGAAAGGGCGTGGAAATTAATTTCTTAATACCACATTTCCCTGTCCCTCTTACAATTATTTCAGCAGAAACAATATGGGGAACAAAAAGCTTTCCGGGGCGCAAAATCGCAAGAGCAAAGCAGAAAAAGTACGTCGTAATCTGAAAAAGAGCGGGTGTGTTTCATCACTACACTGGCCAGGTGCCGCGTCGTCAGAAAAAAATAATGATATCGTTTCAAAGGACATGTATAATTTTATATTTATCTAATGAGCTCTCATTACCAGCAAGATTTTTCCCTTTGCACCAGTTGAGTTCTCCGACCCTTGCTATGCGGAACTGTCGGGTAATATATAATTTTGGCAGTACGCTACTCACTCAGCCCTCATTGTTGACTTGAAGGTCTTTCTTTATAAGGTCCAGGGAGTTGTGAGAGAAAATATTGCGCTATTGGTCAGTGGGTATCAGAAATTAATAACCTTTGATTGTTAAGCACGTGCGCCTTTAAGATTTATACAATTTTTCAAAATATCGTGTTTTTTCTCCACGTTCAAAGCTAATAATTATATAGAATGGATATGAAATTATTGCTTTGATATTATAATTTTTTTAGCAAGACTAAAATAAAATAATCAAGTACATCTCATAGATAGAGGTCATAGACATTTATGAAAATCAATACATTTATATTTTTTTTGGCATCCGTCTGTTACGAAATGTGACGATAGTGTGACTTCGCAGGACGAGATCACAAGAACTGGGGTTTCCCTTTTATTTTATACATGTATATAGTTAATAATATTAATATAAGCTTAACAAATTAATGCATGAAAGCCAAGACATATTGACAGAAAATATCTTAGTAACTCATTTTCAATGCACAAAAATAAAATGGATATTCATTTAGGACAATTGGTTTACCGATATTTGTGTTATAAGTTATAGACGCAAATGGATTCCTTCCTAACAGTAAAGTTGTAAACATTGTATGTAAAAATATTAATTGGATTATAATTTAAGTAGACACCGACTCTGCCCTACCCATTAGGGGGGGGGGGGCAAATTTTCCACCCCCTCCCCACCACTGCCCATTGCTAGGAACAGGAAACAAAAATAAATATATATTTAATGGAAATCGGCGTTTATATTTTAGAAGACGTGGCAAATCTATCAAATCTACGCTTTCTCTTGAACACATAATAAACCTTTCTCACTTTTCATATAAAACAGGCTAAGACTTGGCAAACTCTTACACTGACACTTCAGTTGTGTTTTTTGTTTGAATTGTGTGAAGACTAAGTGTGTTATTTATAAGTATGCAGTACATTTATTTTTATGAATGAGTACTAGTACTACTTAAAACTACTACTAGAAAACTAGTCACTAACAGAAACTAAGAAAGTATTAATCATTAAGTATAAGTTTTTATATCGGTACTACGAACATCTAAACTCAGTAGTTATATTAATATAATAAGACAGAGTTTAACAACACTTTCCAGACTTTGACTTTGAAATTCGTCATTATCGTGATTGGTGAATAGTCTGAAAGATATTGAAATTGAAAGAGGATGTGTGGTAAGATTGAGAAAACTATTACTTAGTGTTAGCTTAATTACTATAAGAGTATAATAATATATGAGTGTAATAGTTTTGTTTAAACTTAGCTTGTTCAGTTTTTTTCTTTTTACTAAAACTTTACAGTACACAGTCAAAGTCTAAGCAAAAGTCAAGGACTTAATTTTACATTTTTTCATAAATTAGAATCTACAATTAACAGTTAAGAAATGGTACTGATATATTATAATTATAGATATATGCCTAATATAGCTTAGTCACTTAAGGGTGAGGACATGAAAGTTTAGTTCACATTCAGTGTTGACCATCTACAACCAAGTAAAGTAGTAGTGGAGTAGCTAGATTTTGTGACACCCAGAACAGTCTTTGACTCTTTCCCCCTAATTAAAAAAAACACAAAAAGAAAATACATGTAAAAATAAGCTAGTATTAAGTAGGCCCTATACAATATAAAGTGGATAGCAAATGCTGCCCCTAAAAATGTGCTACCTGGGGTGGATTGCTACATTCCCCCCCCCCCCCCCCCCCCCCCTAAATAAGCTAGTATTAAGTAGGCCCTATACAATATAAAGTGGATAGCAAATGCTGCCCCTAAAAATGTGCTACCTGGGGTGGATTGCTACATTCCCCCCCCCCCCCACCCCCTGGGCAGAAAACCCCTCCATGTTGATAGATTTTCCCCCAAAAAAGTAAAAATTTAAAAATTTTTTTTTTTTTTTTTTTTAAAAGTTTAAAAAAAAAAACATGTAAAAATAAGCTAGTATTAAGTAGGCCCTATACAATATAAAGTGGATAGCAAATGCTGCCCCTAAAAATGTGGTACCTGGGGTGGATTGCTACATTCCCCCCCCACCCCCCCCAATCCGTGTGCAGATAACCCATGCATGATGATAGATTCTGCCCAAAGAATGTATAAGTTTGAATACTTTCTTAGTTATTCGTTTGAAAAGTCTAAGAAACTAAGCTTTACTGGGCCTGACGAAAGTCACATGTCGCACCCTCACCACATTCGATGTAACCAATCTTCCATGGCTATTTATTACATAAGTGATAGATATAGAAATGAGTAGGGCTAATTAAAAAATCAATTAAAAAATATTATTAATTTCAAAATGCTATTTGTTAAACACAAGGATATTTTTTTCTACAGCTAGAATATTTTAAACCCACTCAACTAAATAGTTGTCCTTTTTTTCAGGTATATTTGCATATCTGAACTATTTGGTTCCTGCCACAAGAAAAGAAATCTTAGATATTCTTATCAATGGCTTGAAACGTATGGAGTATAGAGGCTATGATTCTGCTGGTAATACTTTCTCATAATACTATAAATTAATATAACTTTAAAAAACTCTTGATGATTACTTAAATTGCTTGTTTATATATTTTAGGCTGTTTAAAATGCATTTTTGTATTAAATATTTCAATAACTGTTGAAGTTTATTATATATCATTAAGCAACATATTTTACTTAACTTATTAATATCATTTTTAAGATTTCCAATATTTCTTTAATGAGCTGTATCTAAAAATGAAATATGACATAGTTAGTCTCCATTTCAGCTTATTTTTATTTCTGTCTTAATTTTTTAAAAGAAAATATTTGTTCACAATGAGTTACTTCTGGATTTATCCATATTATAAAAAAAGAAAATTGCTGATTGAGATCCTTATAATATTTTAGGTTTGGCTGTTGAAGGTTCAGATAATGATGAAGAGTGCTCTATCAAAATAATCAAACAGAAAGGAAAGGTTGCTGCTCTTGAGAAGCTCGTTGCAGGTTGGTCTAGTTAGACATTTTTAGGGATAGTACCTACAAATAATACACTAAATTTGACATAAAACTGCACTGACTACAGGAAAGTAATGATTGCTGTATCCATGCCATTTCAAATTCTATTGGTTGGCTAGCCTCGTATTTAGCATATTAATTTTTTATCATTTAAAAATTATAACCCATTTCATCAGCAACCAGCTAATTTAGATCCACAATTTGTTTTTGTGTGATTTAACTTTTATTTTTGTTAAAATTATGAATGTTGATTATATTTTGCAGAAACTAAAGATTTGGACTATGATAAGATTTTCAACATCCATGTTGGTATTGCCCATACCCGCTGGGCAACTCACGGTCAGCCCAGCCCTATCAATGCTCACCCTCAGAGATCTGATCCCCACAATGGTAATTCATCTTGGAATGAAAAACTGTAGTGTTTTTTTTAATTCCTCACTAGGTATTTCAAATAGTTCTGACCAATGTTCCCTTTAAGCCATGCAGCAATCTCACAGATGCCGCGCAGCAGTTTTGAGTACAGCGTAGCTAATTTCCACTTAAGTGCGTGTTTGTGTCTGTAGGCTGTAAAATTTTGCGCACAAAAAAATTGATGCTGTAAAAATTTGCACACAACTTTATGATTTTGCACACGAACCAACAAACCTTAGAGGGAACATTGGTTCTGACATAAGACAGACTGATAAGTATGTAATTTAATACTTAAGCAACATTTTCTCTGACAAATCATAAATAATCTGAATTTATTAAATCAGAAGCAAATTTTAAATAATTGATGCAAGCAAGAATGCTCATTGCAAAAATAAAACATGACTAGCTAATTAACCAGATCGACCCATAAATTAAAATTTCCTATTATTTAGATTTTTTAAATAAAAAAATTTTTTACAAATGGATACTGAAAAATTAATTTCATAAAAAAAAAGTATAATAAAACATTTAATTTACAGAATTTGCTCTCATCCACAATGGCATAATTACAAACTATAAAGACATAAAATCTTTTCTGGTAAGTACATAATTGCACAATTAAATTGTTTCCAGAAAAAACTGAACACTAATCATAATTACTGATACTTAAGCTCTTTTATTTGCTGGTATATAGTCCATTATAATGTCAGTTGAAAAACTGGACCCTTCGTGTAATCAGTGACTTACACTTGTTCAGTTTTATTTAAATCATGTATTTTGTTGAACTATGTGGGAAATAAACATGCCTCATTAGTTCTAACATTAGTTTGTTTTATCAACATTGTATATAAATGTTCAGTAAAAAAAATGTGATACATGTATATTAAAAGGGGAGAGGTAATAAAAAATTTTTTTTCACCCTCTTGTATTAAATAGTTGTAAGAAAGACCAACAAATTATTTATACTTGAATATTGTTGGAAATGTAGGTTACACTTTTAATAACTTTTATAAATTTTTACAATTGTTCTTTGATATGAAAAATTAAGTTTTATATGTAAAATATATATTCACTTAAAATTTTAAGATGTTAAACAACTGTCACCTGCGATATAGTGATATTATATTTAAATGGATCATGGAAAATTCCCTGTGGAAATTTTTTGTAAGACTATTCTTGTAATAAAATTTAATTGTGGATAAAAACCCTTCATTAAAAAAATGTTTATCACAGAGAAAATTAATTATGTTCATCTTAAGTTGTAAACAAGCTTAATAAAATAAAATTATTAATAACAATAGGTAACAAAATCTAAACAAACATGCATGTTATGTGTAAATAAACATTGATCACAAAATGCAACCACTCTAGCTTTACTTAAGTATATTGTTATATGACATTTTTGGTAGTGTGCATGCCTCATAATAATCTGTAACTGATAAGAGCTTAAAGCTACTCTCCACTGCCTAGATGTGATATAAAATGTAAAAATTATTAAGTCAAACTATTTTGAAAAATGTAATAACTGCATTCCATATATATTAAATTAAATGGTCATGTATTTTCCTGCCAAAGATGATCTTGAAATAAAATGTCATCTTTACATTTTCCCATACAGATTTAAACAATGTTACATACATGTTTCATGAAATTTATAAAAAAACTTGGTATTTGTCCCTCAGCTCCAGAAAGGTTTTGAGTTTGAAACAGAGACTGACACAGAAGTTGTAGCCAAGCTTATCAAACATTTGTATGATACCCACAGTGAACAGAAGAAGCTCAAGTTCAGGGAACTCATAGAGATGACCATCACACAGCTGGTCAGTACGGAGTTTAAAATGGAGCTTTGGCAACATAACAATATAAAGAAATTTTCATCTATCCCTATGGCGCTACACCCCTCTAAGGCTCTGGCCTGTCTCACCTCTTCCTTCCACTCAGACCTAACTGATGCTTTTCTTTTCCATGCTTGGATTCCCAGCTGCTGTAGATCTTTTTCCACATTGTCTATCCATTTCAGCCTAGGTCTCCCTTTGAGACATTTTTGTCTGGGGTTTATTTGGTTCACCCTCTTCACTTATTTTGTGCACCCTCTTCTCTTATTTGGTTCACCCCTCCTCACTTATTTGGTTCACCCTCTTCACTCATTTGGTTCACCCTCCTCACTTATTTGGTTCACCTTCCTCACTTATTTGGTGCACCCTCTTCACTTATTTGGTTCACCCCCTTCACTCCTCTATCATTTGGGATTCTTTCTAAAGCTAAGTTTCCCGCCTAGTGCATTCTGCCCTTTTTTATTTAATAATAATAATAATAATAAGTGGTCTTATATAGCGCGGTACCCCGGCCTAGGGCTGGGCTCACCACGCTGTACATATATAGCAAAGAGGCATAATCATAATATTAAAATAAAATACATAAATGAAATAAAAACAACATATAAGCAAAACAACACCATAGGTATATTCATCCACCCACACCAGACATTTTTACAAGGAAACCCATGTACGTTTATCGGTTTATAGGAGGAGAATCAGTCAGAGTAGTAGAGTTTAAATAGATGTGTTTTGAGTGCAGTTTGAAGGCCTGTGTGGTTGTTATATTGCGGATGTGTAGTGGCAAAGAATTCCATTGTTTGGGGGCGCAGAAAGAGAAAGATCGTTCACCATATAATTTAGTGCGTGTCTTGGGAACGGACAGAATACGCGAGTCTGCGGAGGAGCGAAGTTGTCGAAGGGGTGAATAGACAGAAAGAAGTTCAGTTAGATAGGAAGGGCAGGAATCCGAGAAAAAGTTGTGACAGAGAAGAGACAGCTTGTAGTCAATGCGTGCCTGTATAGGGAGCCAATGTAGTGAGTGGAGTAGTGGAGTGACGTGATCATGTTTTTTTGCCTTAAGAACAAGCCTAGCAGCAGAGTTTTGAACTTTCTGCAGTTTTTCTATAAAATGTTTCGGTGAACCTGACAGAAGAGAGTTGCAATAGTCAAGACGAGAGAGAACAAGAGCACAGACTAGAGTTTTTGTTGCGCTAACTGTCAGGTAGTGGCGGATGGAGCTGATCTGACGGATGGCGGTGTATGCCGAACGACAAATGTGAGAGATATGTTTATCGAGAGACATGTTGTTAGAAAGAATATAACCAAGATTCCTAGCAGAGGGTGTAAACTGTATGTCGGAGTTACCTACTTGAAATGAGGTGGGAAGAGTTGAGGTAGAGGATGATTTGTGATTGTAAATGAGGAGTGCTTCTGTTTTGTCATCATTAAGCTTCAACTTGCTGAGTGTCATCCAAGACTTGACATCATCAATGCACCCCCGCAAAGTCTGGACAGCGGAATCGACAAGAGATGGATGGGTATGCATGTATAGCTGTGTATCATCTGCAAATGACTGGTTCTCAACAGCATGCCTCCCGAGCAAGAGGAGTAGTGGCCTGGTATACATTATGAATAGAACCGGACCCAAAACGGACCCCTGTGGCACTCCGTACACCAAATCAGCACTGCCGGAGAGACAGCCATCGACAGAGACCATTTGCGTTCTATCAGAGAGGTAGGACCTAAACCAAGCCAAAACCGAACCAGAAATTCCAAAGTAGTTTTCAAGGGTTTTGAAAAGGATTTCATGGTCAACAGTGTCAAAGGCCGCACTGAGGTCTAAGAGGATCAAAATGGAGACATTACCGCTGTCCATTGCGTGCAAGAGGTCATTACTGACTCTCAAGAGAGCTGTCTCCGTGCTATGGAAATGTCTATAGGCCGACTGATTAGAACTGAGAAGAGAGTGATCATTTAAGTAAGCAAAAAGTTGTTTTAGGACTAGTTTTTCAATAACTTTAGATAAAAATGATAAGTTAGATACAGGTCTATAGTTTTTAAATTATTTTCATCCAGACCGGGCTTCTTAAGCAATGGTTTGATGACAGCTGATTTGCAAAGAGGCGGAACAGTGCCAGAATATAAACTTTCATTTATTATGCGGGTTATTGTTGGGAGCAAGATATCTAATGACTCAACCAACAGGGGGGTTGGGATGGGATCCAAAGAACATGACGTATGTTTAGATTTTAGGATTATATTTTTTACCTCAAGTTCTGAAACAGGTTTAAAAATATTAAAATGTGAAGTAAGACAAGGGAAAGGAGGCAATTCAAGGGGAGGGGCATCAAGACGATCAAGCTCAGCTCGAATGTCAGCTACTTTGCTTGTAAAGAAATTACAGAAAATATCTGGTTGCTTGGGCAGGGGAAACACCGAAGGAAGCGCAGTTCCTTTGTTACTCCCCCTAAGGTGACCACAAACATCAAACAACTGCCTGCTGGTTTTACCCATAGTTATCTTTTGGCTAAAATACGTAGTCTTTGCACGACAAACAATCTGATTGACACGCTTCTTGGCAGCGTAAAATATCTGCTTAAAAACCACAAGACCTGACCTTAACCACTTCTTTTCTGCACTACGGCGCTCTTTCTTGGCACTGCGTAGTTCCTCCTTGATGGTCGCATACCAGGGAGATGACCGCTTTAGACTAAAATTGCGGCGGGTGACAGGGGCGTGTCGGTCAAGCACAGCGCGCAATGCACGGTCTAGTGATTCCAATGTAGGGCAGAGGGCAGGGGACACTTCTACGCTTAGGTCATGCTTAAATGCATCCCTGTTTATAGCTCGCAGACTGCGCACCTCCCTAAACTGAGGGGGAGGGTTGGGGGCACTAACACTAAGTTCACAAATAACACAGAAGTGGTCAGAGGACAGCTCTTGTGTGATTGAAGTAGATCTAACTACACCATCTTGAGGCCTATGTAGTACCCAGTCAAGAATATGTCCACGATTATGAGTCGGTTGGTCGACCGATTGGTGAAGACTGAATAAATCCAAGAGATCCAACATCCTAGCAGTGGAGGGGTGCTGTGGTTGATCAAAATGGAAGTTCATGTCGCCTAGTACAATGTAAGTCCCGGTCAATGTGTTGCAGTGGTCAATCAAATCCGGGAATTCTCGATGAAACACTGAGTCGGTCAATTTATTTTTCTTACTAGGGAAGGTGCGATATATGCACATGAAATGAACTGTCTGCTGGGGCACTGACAGTGTAAATTGAACTACCTCAAAAGACGTGTGGACGAATGGGAGGTCTGTGACAAAAGCTGTATGATGGGACAACGTGTCTCTATATATAATAGCAAGGCCTCCGCCGCGAGTTGAACGGGGAAATGATCTGGCAGAATAGCCATAGGGAGCGAGATCGGTGCACTTCCCCTCATCGCCAGTCAGCCGAAACCAGGTCTCCTGGATAAACAGAATGTCAATCTGCCTATAGTGTAGAGGGGTGTATTTCTGTTTCAAGCATGGTATCCTGATATAGTACATACAATTCCTGGTTGGTTCTTATTCTCCATCTATATCCATCCTTTGTTGGTCCGTATATTTTCTGGATAACTTTTCTCTTCCATGTGTTTAATAGATTTTCTGCCATTTTAGTTAGTGTCCAAGTTTCACTTTTGTATGTCACTACTGGTCTGATTACAGTTTTATAGATAAATTTTGTTTTTTTCTTGTATTGTATTTCGTGACTACTGAAGTATGCCCTGTTTCTGGCCAAGATTATTTTTTAAATTTCTGTCAGTAATTCATTTCTTTCATTTATTCCATCCCTGTGGCGCTACAGCCCACGTTGGGCTTTGGCCTGCCTCACCACTTCCTTCCACTCAGACCTAACTAATGCCTTTCTTTTTCATGCTTGGACTTTCAGCTGCTGTAGATCTTTTTCCACATCATCTATCCACCTAAGCCTAGGTCTGCCTTTGAGCCTTTTTTCTCTGGGGTATTGGTGATGTACCCTCTTCGTTCCTCTGTCATTTGGCATTCTCTCTAGGTGTCCTGCCCAGCGTAGCCTGCCTCTTTTTATTTCTGCTACTATCATGGGATCCTGATATAGTCTGTATAATTCATTGTTGGTTCGTATTCTCCATCCATATTCATCCTTTGTTGGCCCATATATTTTCCTGAGAACTTTCCTCTCCCATGTGTTTAATAGGTTTTCTGCTGTTTTTGTTAGGGTCCAAGTTTCACTTGCATATGTTACAACTGGTCTGATTACAGTTTTATAAATAATTTTCTTTTTTTCTCTTGTAATGTTTTTACTTTTGAGTATTTACAAACTACTGAAGTATGCCCTGTTTCCGGCTGATAATCTTTCTTTTATTTCTGTTAGTAATTCGTTTCTTTCATTTAACAAGGATCCTAGGTATTTGAATTGATTTACTTTTTCAAAAGTCTGGTTTCTAATTTTAATTGCTTCTCCTGTCTATTCTCCTCTTAACATAGTCATGTATTTTGTTTTTTGGTTGTTAACTTCCAGCCCTGCTTGTAATGACGCATCTTCTTATTCAATAGAAGCATTTGATATGTCTTACTACTTTTCCCTAACAGTGCTTTGTCATCAGCATATGCAAGAAACTGAAGGAGTTGATTGTAGAGAATGCCTATTGGTTGTGGGTCTTGGGTTTCTCTCAGAAAGTATCCTGTGATTGTTCCTCGGGTGTCAATATGTAAGCTTCTTATAACTCTCTCTAATGTTAGGTTAAATAGTATACAAGACATCTAATCTGAAATTTCTTTCAATATTCTTCCTCAAACTTGATTTTTACTTTTGAGTTGTTTAATATTATATGTATCAGTTTTATCAGTTTGTTGGAAATGCCAAACTCCTGCCTCCTATAGATATTTCCCCTTTTGAAGCTGTATTAGGCCATTTTATATAGTCAACATAGAGTTGGTGCTCTGGAATATTATATTCATAACATTTCTCTAATTGGTATCTCACGTTGAAAATCTGATCAGTCTGTTTTGTCTAAATCCACATTGGTAGTCACCTAATATTTGTTCAGTGTATGGTTTAAGTCTCTTGGCAATTAGTTTTGTCAGTATTTTGTATGTAACATTTAATAGGGAAATTCTTCTGTAATTTATGCCTTGAAGTTTTGAACCTTTTTTGTGTATTGGGGTTATTAGTGCTGTTTGCCATTCTGATGGGATTTTCTCTTCTTGCCAGATTTGTCTGAGTATAATCTTTCATTCTCTGTCTGAAAACCTATGACTGCACAGACTGCTTCTTTCTTGACAGCAAATAAGTGTTTGTTTTGTCCTTTTTTCCTGAGGATGTCAGCATTTTTCAATAAAATTTGTTGCAATGCAGTAAATGGAGATTTTATATAATTAAAAAGTTGCTTTATTAGGTTGGCTGAGGCTCCTGCTCTAAACAGGCTTAGTATGTTCCAAGTTGCCATCCAAAAATCATATCCATAGCCAAGCATAAGTCGATTTCCATTATTTTTATTTCAGGTTTCATTTTGTTGTTTGGCTTTCATAACATTTATTTTTTTTTCATGCTGGGTTATTAGCCATGCCCACAACCATTTGGGGGGGGGGGGGGGGAGCTGTCTTTATTTTCAGGTAAGGTTCCCTAGCCTTTGTGGATCTCTCCGCTTTCTACAAGACAGTAGGTTCTGATTTAAGTCTGGGGTTATTTAATATGGAAACTAAAAGGTGGCTTTTAAAGTTTTTAAAAAACTTATAATGAAATAACTGTTTGTTCATTTATTTAAATGTTAAAATAGTGGTAAATATAATTAGATACAGTGCCTTTAATCTATGCAATCATTTCTAACATATTATTGGAATCAGTATTTGAGATCTTTACACTAATTCAGGGGTTCGCAACCTACGGCAAGTGTGCCAGACTTTGCACGCATAGCGGTTCTCATTGACATGGGGAAGACAAAAAAAAAATATAAATGACCAAAAAATGTGTCTTAAGTTATTGGTACACTGAATAAATTAGAAGACTTACTTTGGCATAGTATAAAGTTGCTGACCCCTGCTCTACTGTACATAGAATTTCAATACCTACATTTTTTGTTTGCAGGAAGGAGCATTTGCTATAGCAGTAATGAGCAAACACTATCCTGGAGATATTGTAGCCACAAGGTAATCAATAATTTTATGAATTAAATCAATTAAAGAAAGCAGTTGGTGAGATTTTGGGGCGCATATGTTTACAATGTGACAAAATCATAAAGAAATTGTTGACTTTTATTCAAATGACAGAGAAAAGACTCACACCCTTCAGCTTCTGTATATATTTTTTTGATCAGAAATTAACTTCTCATTTTTTTGGAAGCATGTATAAAAATTAAAATTTTAACATTGAATTATGTATATTTTCTCACACTTACTGGACATATTTTAATGTTTACTAATTATTGCCTATTTGGACTAGAAACAATATATTCAAATGTCAGGGCTCACAAAATACTGTATGGTTTATTTAGGCGAGGTAGTCCTCTGTTGATTGGTGTTAAAAGTAAAACAAAGATGAGCACTGACCATATTCCTGTGCTGTATGCTAAAGGTAAGCTGTCTTTAAATTTTACAATGAGTAAATTAACTGAACCCATCCTATATTTAAAATGTTCATTTTCAAATGTCATTTTATTGTATATGTAAAATGTGCACTAAAATAGTACATCATTTTGTTGTTAAATGTTGTTAAAGTAAAGCTCTGCTCTTCTAACATTTGCGATTTTTTTTCACATCTTCCTCATAATTCCAGTTCCCACACTTTATCTTAGTTCTGTATTTTTTATTTTCTTGCATCAGTGTCAATGATTTAACTCTCATTCTATTCTAATATTCTGTCCAATCAGTGTCAGTGATTGATCAATAATTCTAATGGCATGTCCAATCTCTGTCAGTAGTGTAACTCACATTCTAATGGCCTGAAAAACCAGAATCAATGTATCATCATAATCTCTGAATGATTAAAACCTATTAAATTTGTGAGCTTAAGTCAGTCAAGAGTCACAACCAGGTTACAAATATCCACACCACTGGTTTTTGTCAATATTTCCCCAAATTATAACAAATAAATTAAATTAATTAAAATGTTTTTATAAAATAAAAAATCCTTTTTGTAGTCAAAATATTGCAGCAATAATTAGAAATATATGTTCTGTTTCTATGAGGAAACTATTAACGTTTTAGAAATACATTTTAGCATGAAATAAGGATTTTAAAAAATCTAATGATAATTTGAATGTTTTTACAGTGATGTAGACTTTTAAAATTTCCCGTAAAAACCTGTAAAAGTTGCACATTGCACTCTGTCAGTTAACACGTTTTAAAAGATTTAAAGATAAATCAGCTCCAATTTCATTGAAATGAAAGAGTCGCTCCATAAATAGGTTATGCTTAGCATGAGAACCTGGTAAAACTGATTATAGAGTTGGCTTTTTTCCTAACTTCCACAACTTTGTTCTTTTCACATAGACAATATCCCACATCTCTAAAATTTCATATTATTTGTTGTTATTACAGAACAGATCCTTGACAAAAGTAAGAATGAAATGTTCAGGGTCATCCTTAGATTTCACACTCAATCTTTCAATACTTTCACTCTAGGAGATGGATTTCTTTGCCTCAACTCTATAAACAAATTATAATGAAAAGCTAACTTTGAAAATATAGAAAAAAGCAAGGACTTCTAGAATTATGGTGTTTACAAAAAATAGAAACTATCGAAATTCTATATAAAGAAAGGCAATTTGTAAGAATTTCATAGTCTATTTTTAGCTTTAAAACTGTTTCAAGAATTGGGAAATGTGAATATTATATCGAAAAATTTTAAGTGTATTCTGGGGACATATTTTCTAATAAAATGTTACATTTTTGTAGAATTGCTTTTATTTGCTGAGTGGAAAATTTTAAAAAGAAAATTGCAGTAATTTCACAATATTAAGTTTTTATGTAACAGCACTGGAAGTATCTAAACATTATTTTTTTTCTTTGATTATAACTAGTCTATAAGTTCTGGCTCAACAGCCTGTTTCCATTCCAAGAAATTATGGATGACCCTTAGTTTTATGCTATGCATCATTCTATTTTATTGTATAACATTGTTGGGGGCTGCAATGCCTTTTATATTTAGAATTATCATACATATTTTTAATAATGCTAGTGGCTCTTTTTCAAGGATTTCTTCATCATTCATATGTTACAATTTCTTTTAATGTTCCATTCACCCTATCTTTAATGTTTTGTTTATAAATTATGACCGAGCATACTACAGTAATATATCAGCTTAAAAATGGTTATAAATTACTTTAATTTATTTATGTTATAATTACCTTCATTAAAATTACAAAACAGAAAGAAACTATATGAGGATAATGTTTATATTCTCTTATTTACTCTTTTTTAATTGCTTTTTAAACAATATAAATAATATGTATGTACAGTGAAACCTGTGAATAGCATAAATCCTCAAGATGGTAGCAAAAGGGGTGCTATTTGCAGGGGTCATGCTATTCACAGGTTAAGCATGAATGAGGATCATGCACAATAATTTGAAATGAGAAGACATTTGCACATTGAAAATACAAAGAAATGAGTAAATATACATACATGTAAATGAATGCACTTTCTAATAAACACAGAACAAATATGAAACTATGCGAGATTTGTTTGAGCTTAAACAATCTTCACGCAGCTCATTACATTGGCGTTTGACTGAATATATGCAATTCATGGGGTTTTTGTTAGTAAATCGATTCATGCTGGGTTGAGTTAGGACATTTGCCAGGGACAGCACTAATTTGAGGCTCACTAGTAACAGTTTTCACTGCATTCGAAGCTACACAAAACTAACTTCTCGGTGGATGTGGGTCGCCACTGTAATATACTAGCTATATGTTTATATTTCTGCTTACTGGTAAGGGATTATTAATGCTCCTGTTGGATGATTACTTATAATATACATAAGAGTATTTATATAGCCCAAATACAACTCAACTTTATATATTATTAATTTACTTTAAATTTTACTGTAGTTAATAAATAGACTGAATAAGGAAACAGTTATTTATGTTATTTTTTAAATCAATTTGATTTTGATAATCTAAAATTGAGCTTAAAATGAGAAGTTATATTTGGGCTATGGTGCAATTACTCTTTTATAAAAATTGGGAATCTTTTCTTCTATTTTTTAAAGCTTGTATAACTAGTCTAGCAATTTTCTTATCTCTGCTTGGTAATTTAAAGATGAACCTGATTTTTACATAATAAAATATGCATGAGATTATTATTTTATGCTAGCAAAATTGAACTTTGCTTTGCAAGATTTATTTTTACTTTGTGCACACACATAGTTGTATATACCCATTTCATTATGAGTGTGTGTGTCGTGAGCGTGTGTTTTGGTCAAGCAGATGGTTGTAGTCCGGATGGACAAGACTAATGAATGGTTTGGAGGGCAGTGATTAATAGTCCCTTTCATCTGTAATTCATACAAAAGCATGACTCTTTTCATACCACACTGTGTTAAAAAAAACCTTGTTCAAATATTTTAGTCATAGCTTTATATACTTTAATCTATTCTAAAACTTGATAAACAAAAACATGACCCTGTGTTGTAGAAGCTAATATATTTGTTGTCATTCATACCTGTCCACTGGGCTGGTATTAACAAAATCTTTTATCAGCACAATAGCAGACACACTGAAAATAACATATCGTCTCCCTGCGTTTATGAATATCTATTTATTTGGGAAAAAAAATGATTTAATCAAAAAATTTAGACTATATAGAAAGCATCTAGTTGGAACATTGTCATAATACTATGTCATAACGTTTCAATATTTAAATGTAAATACTTTTTTTGTTTATGCCTTATGTTAAATAAACTTAACTCCTAAATCATTAATTTAAAAAATATGTTTATGTGGCTTCACTATGCTTAAAATTTAGATCATAGAGGTTTTCTGGGTAGCAGTCATGGCAGAAAAGATGAGGATACAGAATATATCCCTGTGGGACCACACAAAGAGATAGAATATTTTTTTGCCTCTGATGCAAGGTATGTTAAAAATTGATCTTTTGAATGACTTGAGTTTTAATAATTTTTTTATTTTCTCATAAAGCAGGATTTAAAACTAGTAAAATGTTCAAGTGCTCCCCCTATTTTTTTTATAAAATTGCCTAGAAAACAAAAAGAAATCGTTTTTTAAAATGCATCCATGATAAAGTGAAGGAACTAGAGTAATAAAAATAATTTGTGATCAAGGTAATTTATAAAAATATTTTATACATATATTTGTGGCATCTGTAAATCAAGGATATGCCAACTTTGATAGACATCTTTAAATTTTCTGCAAAATATCAAGATACTAAGTTATGGGTAAGTTGGTAAAAATGGCCTATAAGAAGATGAAACAGACGATTCTCATGTCAGGCAGACAAAAAAATGGGGTAATAAAATAATAGATCTGTTAAGCAATTTTAAAATCATATTTACCAGTTTTTACGAATGCTTAACATAAGTTAGAGAAATGAGTTGGTTTAGTTTATATTTGTAAAATTTTCAGTTCTACTTAGTTAAATAATTGATAACCATGATTTCACAAACTTTTAATCACATGAGAGCACCTCACCTACTTAACGTCCTTGTTCCAGTGCTTTCATAGAACACACAAATCAGGTGATATTCTTGGAAGAGAATGATGTCGCTTCTGTACATGAAGGTATTCTTAATATTCATCGGGTCTCACGATCCCTTGAGGAAAGCACATTCCGTGAGGTGTGTACATTAAAGATGGAAATTGAACAGATCATGAAAGGTTAGTAAAGTAAAGACTAGACAGACAAATTTATAGAATTTCTGTTTCTGGCTATTTTAGCACATATTTAGTTTTAAATCACAATGATTCATATTTTATAAGAGTTATGTTATATTTATATATTGATATATTTATGAGTTTTCACTGGTAATACTAGGGTAATATATAAATAAATGAAGGGACTGCTTTCAAGCTATGTAAAAGAATGAAATAGTGAAACGAGGTATGTGGAAGCTTGAAAAAAGGTAACAGGACAAAAAACAAGGACGTTTCGGCATAAAGCCTTCATCAGCCAACAAAAGAAATGAAAATACAACAAAGAAAAGAACACAGTAGAAAACTCAAGCAGTATTCATTCGTCTCTCCGGAAGTGGGAAAACAGGAAGCGAGAGAAAATAAATATATAAACAATTAAGATCATTTTTACCATTAATAGCTCTCATTTTTGTTATTTAATTAAATCCCATTAAAAAGAATTTCCAATATACAAACTTAAATTAACCCTCCCACTTCCCATCAATAAGTGACACACAACTGAATCATTTTGAGCTCTTAGTTATTTCAAGTTTTTTTTCTCTCAATACTTTGATGTTGATAAAAGTTAAATCTTAATTGGCTTTCAAACTTATCAGTTTTTGTTTGGCTACAGGCAGTTTCAGTTCCTTCATGCAGAAAGAAATCTTTGAACAGCCAGAATCTGTGGTCAACACAATGAGAGGGCGAGTCAACTTTGACACCAACCAAGTTATTCTGGGTGGCATCAAGGACTACATGGCAGAAATCAGGCGGTGTCGACGACTTCTCTTCATTGCTTGTGGCACCAGTTACCACAGTGCTATTGCTGTACGTGATTTTTGTTTTGATTGGTTAAAGTATACAATAGTTTTTTTAAAGGACAATTCTCCTGAATAATAATGTTAATTTGAATACCAATGACCTACTTTTTCTTTTTTTTCATTAAATACCGTAATAAATATTCATTAGCATTTTGAAGAGTTAACCTATGCAATGCTTCAAATTCAAACTTGTTTTCTATTTTAGTAGATGTTTATAAGTACCGGTAAGAAAGAAAACAAATTATTTCCCCAAACATATGTCAGAAGGACAAATCCTAATCCTACCGTCCATCAACGTACACATACCATTCTATATTTCATATTTAATATATTTGTATGGTTTTCATTCCTTCCACAGACACGTCAGCTGCTGGAGGAACTAACAGAACTTCCAGTCATGGTGGAACTTGCCAGTGACTTCCTGGACAGGAACACACCCATCTTCAGGGACGATGTTGTTTTCTTTTTGAGTCAGTCTGGTGAGGATTATTTTCAGCATCTTTTAAATTTTGGGGTTTTTCAATTTTCGGAGGGAGGTTTAATTTTGTTTCTTTTAGTGCTTGACTTTATGTGACAAATTTAAGAAATTGTTTATGTATCTTCTTTATAATAAAATTTAATTATATTAAAATCTAAAGACGGCAGATTTGTCCTGAACTTTGAAAAAAAGGGATAAATGATTTTTTTTTTCATAATTTTTATTAAAAAGTCTTCTAGCTATCTATAAAAGTATTGAGCTTTGCTTGAATACAGGTGAGACTGCAGACACACTTCTGGCCCTTAGGTATTGCAAACAAAGAGGTGCTCTCATTGTTGGCATCACCAATGTCGTTGGGTCCAGTATCTCTAGGGAATCAAATTGTGGAGTTCACATCAATGCTGGTCCTGAGATTGGTGTTGCTAGCACAAAGGTAAACTGGGCTCTTAGTTTTTTTCTTTTGGACATTAAGTTACAACCACAAATGACTGTGTTGTTTTGATGCATTTACTTTCTAAAGATCTGCCTTGCTTTATATGTGATGATCATGTGAAAAATGATGGGTTGGTCTCATTTCTAGGCATACACAAGTCAGTTTATATCTCTTGTGCTGTTTGCACTTGTGATGAGTGAGGATAGAATCTCAATGCAGCAAAGAAGACAAGAAATCATAGAAGGGCTAAGGCGTCTGCCAGGTAAACCTTAGAGTAGTTATGATTTTGTAAAAAAAAAAAAATGAAATAATATTTTTATACATAGAATCCATGACAATATTAGAATGGAAGTCACAAAGTATTATTATTAAAATGTATTGTATTACAAAACAACTCATCACTATTTAAAGATGTAAAGCAGTAATTGCATTTCTGATCATCTGTAATTGTTTTCTAAAGGAGACTTAATTTTAATAATTATTTTGATTGTTTTTGTACTAAAAATTATATAACTTCTTGAATTCTTTTTATTGATTTGTCAAAAATGATGCTATCATCCATATGAATTATGAACATTAGAATAATTTTTAATTATTGTTCTGTGCCTGTATAAAAATTTCAATACGATAAAGATGTTTCGGTTAATCAGAGCAAATCAAGACCGTTTTGGCCAAGGATGAAAAGATCCATAGTTTTGCCAAGGAGCTGCATACCCAAAAATCCCTATTGGTCATGGGCCGTGGCTACAACTACGCTACTTGCTTAGAAGGTGCACTGGTATGTTTGCTGTAACATTAAAAGTTAACTTTTATGTTATAGATTCAGTAAATGTTAGAGTTTGTACATTTGTTGTTGTTACGACTGGTAGGCTTTTCTTTAAACGAAAACATCTTGCGTTAGAGTGACTGGCAATAATTCTTTTACTGCTCTCTTGGATACTACTTCTCAGCTAAGTGCTATTTTATTTAAGTCTGTTTTTTGTGTTGTTTGGTCGCTGATGAAGGCTTCCTGCCCACACGTTCTTATTGCGTTCCTTTTTTCAGGTTTGACCATACTTTGTTTCACTCATTTCCTTTTTACTAACCTGATTGAAGTCTCTCTCCTTATTACCATTGCAATAATGCTGTTATTTTCATAATATTTATACTTATAGTTCTTTATAATCTGTCAAATATAATTTATTTGCTTGTTTCCTGCACAGAAAATTAAAGAGTTGACCTACATGCATTCAGAGGGCATACTTGCAGGAGAGCTGAAACATGGACCTTTAGCCCTGGTGGACAAAGCTATGCCTGTACTTATGGTGTGCACAAAGGATAAAGTCTACACAGTGAGTCATTTATATATATATAAAATTAAAAAAAAAAAAGAAATTCATTTATTTAAAAGGTTATTTTACATTGTAAAACAAAAAGTATTTAGGTACAGATATAAAGTTAATTTACAAGAAACATCAGGAGGAAAGTGAACCAAAAGGTTAAACATTTTAAAGGAAAAATGATGAGAAAAGCATTTTTATTAATTATACATTTTAAGAGAAATCATTTGTGTGATCCATGGTTGTTATTAAATATGAGACTAAAGCTGTCTTATGTAATGGAAGTAATCAAAACTAATCATGTTTACATTTAAAGTAAAAAAATAACAGATGAGCCGCAAGGATAGGAGGAGATAAATAAATTGGATGTACTTTTTTAAAATTTGAAATTTTTAAAATCTTATCACAACAGTTGTAGGAGCTAGTCTACATCTCAGATCTTTACAGAACTAAACTGCTTACTTGGCATACTTTGAATAAATTATTTTACCTTTACAATTTTTACAATTTCAGAAATGTGTGAATGCAGTGCAGCAAGTTAAAGCCAGGCATGTAAGTACTATTAAGAACCTTATTAAATTACATTTTTTTAAAGCAATTTTGTTATCTATCATTTTAAATAATGTTTCTGTTATTTATAACCTAAAAATGTTATTTATTATTTATTAAATTTTCTTCCTGTGAATTTATAACCTAAAATGTTTTAAAGAATACTGATGGCATAGCAGTATTGAAAACAACAAAGACTCTAAAACATAATATTTAAGCTAACCACAAGTTAAAAAAAATTAGTAAATAAAATCTGTTACCCGAAATTGCTAATTGAAAATTGGAATCCGTGCTAAAGAACAGTTGTAATGACTTGTTTTTTTGTTTCCCCTTTCCTACAAAAGGGCAATCCTATAATGATATGTACTGAGGGAGATGAAGAGATCCAGTCCTTGGCAACCCAGTACATTGAAGTGCCCCACACCATAGATTGTCTACAGGGTGTTCTCACTGTGATTCCCATGCAGTTGCTGTCGCTGCACATTGCAGAGCTTCGGAAGCTTGACGTAAGCATCATTTATCATTCTTACAATAAATTCCCTGCCTTAAATTTTGTATCTTTAAACATTGTTTTTGAAACGTCCATTCATAATTTGACTATAACTGTAGCATACAGCTTTCCTAGTTGCACACTTTTTTAAAAAGATAAAATTTTTTTTTTTTTTTTTTTTTTAACCTTAAAATTTACCTTTTTTTTTTTTTTTTTTTTTTTGCAAATTAAAGAAAAAAAAATTGTAGATAAAAATTAATTTTCACTCAATTGTAATTATTGTAGAGGAATTTTAAACAACTTTAAATGATTATGAAAATTATGTGTTCTTTTATTGAATTTGATAAAATCTATTATATTTCATTCATGTGAGCCTATATTTATTAGAACTAAATCCCGAAAAGTCATCGACTGCTTTTATTACATGCACCTGATTATAGCAATAATAATTGCATTTAAATAAAATTAAGGTCTGTTTGGCATTTTTTCATCCTGGAAAATGTGTTACTACTGTGATCATTGTAACTAGCACTTGCTCTAGTGATCACTACCCTATACTAATAACTTTTTTAATGCGAATACTCCCCCCCCCCCCCCTTTTCCCACCCCACCACCAACCCTTTACTTTACCCACTAAATAATTATGTACACTATAATAAAGTTGTAAAGTTTACAAACCAAGGCATCATTTGACCCCTTTCTGTAGAGAGAGTTTTAAACCCTTTTTAAAAGGTTTCTTTATTGCCCTGAGCACCATCACCAGCTTTAAGATTTGGCAATGCTGTTGCATTGTTACCACACCTAAAACCATGATTAATTATTTTTAGTAAGACTGTATGTTGTTGTTGTTTGTCTGTCAAAATCGACTCGGACCATCGAGTCATCCAGTTGGGGGGAGGGTGGATTACAGTGAGCTCGTGGCTTGCTAGACCGATCCGTGCTCAGAATAATCTCGGGCACTGTGGGCAGGGGATAGTTTTAGCAGACGGTGATCTAATGTTACTCTTTCGGGCCAGCCTGCGTGTCTCAGCTGTGGTTATCCTACTGGCATCATGGGATTTAGCCCCCCCCCATCTCCACAGCTGCTCTCCACCTGGCTCTGTCCTGGGCAGTCTGCACCCATTGAGTAGGTTTGATGCTGAAGGCCTTTAGTGCCGCTTTCAGTGAGTCTTTGTAACACCTTCTTTTACCTCCTTGGGAGTGCTTGCCTATCGTGAGTTCTCAGAAGAATATCTGTTTTGGGAGCCGGTGGTCTTCCATACGGGCTACGTGTCCCTTCCAACAGAGTTGAGACTGAATAAGGGTGGTGAAAATACTAAGTAGGTTCGCTCTAGCCAGGACCTCTGTGTCAGGAACTTTGTCTTTGCCACCTGATGCTGAGGAGTTTCCTGAGGCAGGTTGTGTGACAATGATTCAGTTTCTTGGCGTGACGGATGTTCACATCCATCGAACAATGTGGAGAGGACTGTTGCGGTATAGACCTTGATCTTCGTTTCTCGTCTGATACCTCTCCTGTCCCAAACAGTGCTGCGGAGCCTGCAAAATATGGCACTAGCTTTTGCGAGTCTAGCATTCATTTCATCATCCATAATGACAGATCTGGAGAGGGTGCTGCCCAAGTAAGTAAATTTTTACACTGGGTTGAGACGCTGTCCGCTGATGATGATATTGGGTTCAACGTAGGGCTTACTAGGAGCTGGCTGATACATCACCCCAGTCTTCTTTGTGTTGATAGTGAAGCCAAAGTTATTGCAGGCGTCAGAGAAGATATCAACACTGTGTTGCATGACGGCTTCTGAGCCAGCGTTTAGGGCACAATCGTCAGCAAACAGAAGCTCATTGATGGTGTTATGTTTGACCATTGTTTTAGCTTGAAGCTTCCTAAGGTTGAAGACTGATCCATCAGTGCGAAACCGGATTGGCAAGCCCATGGTGGAGTTTGAAAATAAACTACCTGAGAATCCCTGTCCACGGAAATGTAATCACTGTTAACTTTCACTTCCTTAAAATAATGCTCTGTATATATAGTTTTAAATTTTTTTTACCTTGAAATTAGCAGCAGCTTAAAATTTAAATGGGAAAAAAAATGTGTAAGAGAACATAGTGACCCCAGAGAAACATTTCCTGTCACAAGATAAATTGTAGCTGTGACATCAGGAAAATAATGTTAACCTGAAACACTAACAGCCAAGAGATGTTTTATTAGTGGGTAACTTAATGTGTCTCTAATGGGTTGCTTGTAAAGCATGACTGTTTAAGATTTTTTGCTGTAGATTGTAGAGAGAATTGCTTGAAGATTTATTTCCATGCTATTTTAGTTTAAATCAATGAATTAAAAGAGGGTTATATGAAATTTTATAGCTCAAAGGGATGTGTTCATAGGGTTGAGAAACATTGGCGTGGAAGAAAATTAATCTGATGGCTTGTAAAACATCAGACTGTTAAAGTGCAAAGGGCTCACAAAAAGTTTTGCTGTTGTTTAAGTGTCATTTAAGTTAAGCTTGGGCACTTAGTCCTTAAAGTTAAATTTTCATGAGTTATGGTTATTATATGGGACTTGTCAAGATGTCCTTTATCTTGTCATCCTTGCAAGGAAGGCTATTTATCTCTTTTATTTCTTTTTAAAAATTTATTTGTTTTATTTGGTTAAATTAATTAACTGGTTGGAATTTTTTAAAACCATCTAGCTAGATGTTTTAGACTAAATGGCTTACTGTTCTAATTTTATAATAATTTAATACTGTAATAAGTTAAGATCTAACACGTTTCTAAATTTCGTTTTATTTTATTTTCTATCATACTTATCATTTAACAAATTGCAAAACTTTTACAAATATGCACAGTGAAATTTTAAGACAATATATTTCTCAATATTGTTAAAATGCATGTTTTTTTTTGATGTATAAGATTCCCATAAGTAAAACAGATTTGTAAACCTTATTATCTTCCACTATATCTGCACTAATGAAAAAACCATAGTGAAATTAGTTAGGAAGGGTGGGGTGGAGGGGGAACTTTTTTTCTATATATTTAGGGTGTTACTTTTTTGTCCAACTGTAGAATTTTTGTGTTGTTGTAGGGCTGCAAAAATCTTGGCCTGCCATGGTCTGCACTAACTCTAGCTATGTCCCTGGATATAGGCTTGTAGATATAGAGCTGCATGTACATAACAGCATACAATGTTCTCTCTATTCTATAAAATTTTTGCTGAAAATAAGTCAAATTTATGAGGATATCAGTACATATTGGCCAGTGCTAGCAGTAAAGACAAATTATTCTATACCAGAGCAAATTATTCTGAACTAAAGTTTAAAAAAAACTATAAAAAAAATTGATTATGACAAAAATTTTAGCCTTAAACAATTCACTTAAAAATGGATTTACTTTTAAGTATGCTAGAAATTCACTGTTATTATTATGTTCTCAACTGATTAAGAATTTATGAACATTTAATCTAATGGAAAATGGAAGCATTTTATTGACAGTAATTCTGCTCAGAAATTTTTTAAAAAATGACATTGATAGCAAGCTTGTGAAGAACCTCACGTTTTTTCTCCTTATTCATGTCATACACATTTCAAATGCAAGACTGAAATTAAATCCTCATTTAATACTTAGTATCTGCTACAGGGATGTTTGGTACAGAATTATATATAAAACTATACACTCTCTTTAACTCATGCCATACCATTTTTAACTCTCAGGTGGACTGCCCTCGAAACTTGGCTAAGTCTGTCACGGTGGAATAAATTCATAAACTTTCCAGCTATTTACCATCTGTAAGATGTAGCATGATTTTTATTAGCTTATCTATAAAGCCCAGTGTTTCTCAACCTGGTTACTTCGGTCATGTGGCAATTTTGCTAATATTTTTTTTTTCTCATGAAAAATGAGAAGCGGGGGAGGGGGCAAATTGCTAGAAGTTTCTTAACGGTTTACTTAAGTGTTGAGAAACACTGACATAGAGTGTAAGCTAGATAAATATGGGTTCACATCCTTGATAGTACATTTTGATTTGTGAATATAAGTTCAATTACACAATGACATATCTCATAATTTCTTCCTTTTAAAATTTACTTTATATTTTGAAAAATCTCAAAATAATACTAGATTTAGCAAATTTAAAACTTATTGATGTTTTCCTTTTGAATTTCTCTTCCTCTTGTTTAACATAGTCAGAAAAGCCCCCCCCGTTAAATGGCTTTAAATGTAGTGTTGACCTACTTTTTAGACATTTGTAGGAGTGTGTTTGCATGCATGTGTGCCACACGATTGCTACATAGGAACAACTTGATCTACTCTCATTTTTGTATCACATGTAGAACTTCTGCAGACATATTAACTGAAACAAAAGTATGCGGAAACAAAACAAAAAGAATAACATTGCCATTAAATAACATAACTAATGGTGTTGTTCCTAAAAATGTCCGGCAATAGGACTAGACACAAGTGTTCTACTTTTTTAGTTGACCTATATAAATTATAATATTTTGCTTTTTTTCTCATTGTATAGCAGTGCTCCACAACCTTTTTCTTCCCACAAGCACAACTAGGCCCTTTCGAAAATTTTGCGGCACACAATAAGAAAAAAAACCATACAAAAATATCTAAAATTTTGAGTTTGTGTCATTTTTAATTCATTATCTGTTTAAGCAACTAGAAGTTTCATAGAACTCTACCAAGCAGGGTCATGCCAAGGAAAAGCGGCTTCGGGGGCGAGACTGAAAATGCCACCCTCAATATATAGAGAAAAATGAAGATTTTGGCGCCAGGCGTCTTTGTGAACAACATGTGATTTTATAGTTTAATTCACTATTTAGGTCCTTTCTAAATGTCTAAAGACAATTTTTGTTCCCACTGATGTTGGTGATTGCGCGCCCCTTCCCCCCTCCCCCTTTTGCAAGCCCTGCTACCAGGATGGAGCGCTTATTATTTTTTTGAAGTTCGGTGAAGTGAACTTTCAGTATTCCATCATTCCTAAACAGAAGTTCATATTAAATATTAAGGAAAATTGATATAAATAATTATATGCAGATAATACAATCTGGTATTGGATTCCTTTCTACTGCCTATATTTCTAGAAAAATCAAATATTCTCATCTTTTTGTGGTGGTTCGCAGGTTTGTTCCTTTGCATTTTTCTTAAATCTTTGGCTTGATGTTGTTTGCTAAAAATATAAGTTTTTGTTTGAGCCCCATGTCATTTATAAGAGCATAGTAGAAATAAACATCCTGACCTTTTTTTGTTAAGTCGAACGAGTAGGTTATGCAAGTTAAGCTGCTGTAGAGTTTATGTTAAGATTGATTAGAAATTTTCTGAACTTATGTTGGAGCTTAAATTATAAACTTGCTAGAACTTTACACCACAATGCAAAATTAATACCATTTATGATTTCCCATAAGGCAGGATTAGTAGTTTGTAATGTCAATCATGTTATTTTATATATGAGACGAATTATCTTTTGAATTTTTTATTCCTCATTAGACCCATCAGTGCAAACACCAAGAAAATAATTGAATGCAATTTTAATAAAATATATTGCCTTCCTCGAAAACTCTTAATTAAAATACAAAAGCTGAATAACTTTGATCCAATCTCACTTTTTTATTTCCTCATTGATTTGAAATAGGCAGAAACTTATTTAATTTTTTACATTTTTAGCCCCAAGTTTTAATAGAAAGATTTCCATACAAGCTAGTTTAATAAATGTTTCACAATAGTATGTTTTTATCTGACATGGAATTAATTGTGCATTATGGTAAACAGCTTTCGAAACTGACAAAGGTGATTTCATTATTGCACCTACTTTACATTTTGAATTCAAACGCACTGAGAATTATGGTAACCCTTAATTTTTTAATGCATTTGTTTTAACTTTTAAATAGCAATCAGTTTTTTTGGGACAAATTTCCATATTGAATTTATGTGTTAAAATTCTGTGGTGTTTGCAACATTGTACAGCATGATGATGATGGTGATTTCTTGTATAGCGCTTGTCTCATGCTATTCTAGCATGCTCAAAGCGCTCTGATGTCATAAACTCTATTTAAAGAAAAAATGTTTTTAAATGTCTCTTATATGATTCTTTATCATAATAGCTTGGTAATAAGCTAATCACTGCTTCATTTTCTCATGATGATTTTATTTAATTGTTGAGCCCACAATAAACTCAGCAATTCCTCTCCTAATTTATTGGCACACCAGTGCCCGGGCTCACCGGTTGCTATGGTCTGTTACATAGTAACATAAGTGCCAAGAATAATTGTATTGTTCTGCTTCGCCATTAACTATTAGTTTTAGATGCATTAAGATTAAAATTTGTATGCTTTGCTAAAGTGGCTTTTTAACTAAAATATGTGTTGAAAAATGTACACTATTCTATTACTTCAGTAATATTAATTTCTCAAGGATTTAATTCTCTAGTTTGTCTTTCCCTTTGGGGTGGTCCATTAATTACGTCAACAATTTTTACACAATTTTTGACCCCCTCCCCCCACTGTCAACAACTGTCAAACTTTTAATGACCCCCTAAGTAATTATGTCAACATTTTCTAAACCCCCCCCCNATTTTATTACATCCTTAGCTTGTTAATCAACAAGTTAAAAAGTTTTTACACTTAAATTTTATAATGCAGAATCAATTGAACGGTTGTTTGGGGTATAAATATGATTATTGTCAGTAAAGTAAAGCTGACAATTATAGTATAGTTTCTAGCTGTTATCAACTTCCCAAGGAGTAGCCAGGTTAGCTCTGTTGTAACAATGGGCATCAGGGACATCATTTGGGGAGGGCAGGGGGGCATTTGTCTCTCCCCCCCCCCCCTACCCCTAATTTGAAGGTTTAATAAAAATTAATATGTACTGTGGAGCCTCCAGTAATAAACAACTTAACAAGCTGACCAAGTTTTGGTTTAGCCCCCCCTGAAAAAAAACCTGAAATGACGCCCCTGATGGGCATAATAGCTGATTTAGCATTTTCATCTTGCGGGAATGATATACCAGACAAGTTAACATCCTCCTTATCTAACCATTCAGCCCTTAAAATAGAAGCATTGTCGGTGTGAGCAATAATTGCCATAAGCTCTCTCTATATAATTGCAGCTACTCGCATTGGTCGAATCCTTTTTTGTTGAGGAGCAGGTGCTAATTTCTTATGCTCAAGAGGCTCTAGAGGGCATTGTCGGTGCTGTTGAACATGCATTTTCAAATAGATGTTATAGATTTTGCAAATTCGTTCAAGCAGCGATGTTATTACTGTTACTCCCTTAACATTCCCCTAATTTTCAAAATATCGTATTCCTACTCTAAATATCATTTAACTTTTGACTTCTCTTGCACTAACAAAGTGTGCTAACATTCTGACCAGCAATCTTCAGTGCACAGACATTAAATAAATCTTGTATTGTTAAAATTAAAAGCCTAAAAATTGTATTATTTTCACTCATTTACATATTGACATTATACATTTTTAAAAATTATGTAATAACCAGTCACTTTTTAAGATTCAAATTTCAATAAAGAATACATGATTGTTGACGTAAACTAATCTAACCCCCCCCCCCCTTTCCCCCTTTTCAACAACTCTCAAACATTTCCAAACCCCCTCCCCCCTTATTTTGTTGAAGTAATTAATGGACACTCTCATTGATGATAGTGTCCTTCCCACTAGTTTGTTATCTCTATCATTCTCTGGTTTGTATGGGTTTCAATGAAAATATGAGTTGTTCACATCTGCTCATCAGAATTATCGTTGTCTCAGAGAAAACAAGTTTACATTGATTAATTTCATTTTTATTCCCCAAGTGAATGCTACTTTTATTACTTTGATTTTTAAACTCCACGATACGTCTGCTTCATGAGCTCTTTTTAAATCCAGGTTTTAACATGCCAGGCGCACAATTTTCTATACTTCGAAAAAGCAAAAGTCTATCAGGATAAACATTCATTAAATGTCTAAAGCATGACAATAAGTTTAGTGTGTTATGTTAATAAAATGAACATGTTATAAAATTACCCTGTTGATAAGTTTATATGTCATACTGCTCTTTACAGACTGACCGACCTCGCCACCTGTTGAAAACATATACAAGCTAACAGAAGAGAATAACTAATGGATAAGGATTTTTATTTCAAAAACCAGTAACAAAGATTGCGGCATGGAAAGAACGAACTTTTAAAAAACTGTTTTAATGGATGACCCCAAGACCTGGCAACTGTACAATTGTTAAAATAGAAGGTCACAAACAGTGATGCCATTGAGATATCTTAATTTAAAATTATTGTCCTGTAAAAACAGAAAAGCTTAAAGATTTTAATGTTTTGATGACACTGTTCTGTTTTTAAAAAATGTATTTCCTTTTTTTCCCCTCCCAAGTTTGGTTATATTAACATGCAAGAATGTGATTTGGTTAATGTGAGGATATTCATGCACCTGAAAGACAATGACATCTTCAGGTAAATTCATTTGGGTTTTACATGGGGTTTGAAGATCTTCAGTATATTTTATTTTGTATGCTCCACAAATATTTTTACATTTATTGTTTTATCATATAGATATATTTGCTTCTGCTGGAACTTTATCATTGTGCAGGATTTTTATCAATGACTGGCATTTGTAAATCTTATGTTAACTGTTGTTTTATTTAATCCTGAATCTGCTGGAAAGTTGAGTGTATTTAAAATTCTCTGAACAATATATATAAACAGTGAGTTTATAAAAAATGTAGCAAAATTTTTTATCACATAAGATAAATTGACACATTTTGATATGTATGTATTCCTTTTTTTTTTAAAACTAGGGGTCATGACAGTTTACATTTTGATTTAGAAATATAAGTAGTTGTGATAATATATTTTTGTATATTTTAAAATATAATTTTGTTTTTAGAAAAATTGCTTTATTTTAAGTCAGGTAGGTATACTTAACAGTAACAGCCTTAAAATCTCATTCCATTACTTTGTCTTCATTTTGTTGATATGCCTTAAGCATACTCAAACTGGTTTCTTGCTTTTGGAAAATCTAGACAAATTTTATCCTTTTTTAGCACTGCATGACACTATACAAGAGGTGACCAACATTTTTTGAACAGCATTATCATTTATACGCATATATATTTGTGCATTAGATCACATTTTTGTGTTATATCATTATATGGATACAAATATTTATATGATTCCACATGAAAACTAATTATTTAATGTTTGGATTGTGTAAAGTTCTGTTGAAAGAAAAAAAAACAGAGGAATACTTATAATTTAAATAATTTTTTTTAAAAAACAAAAACGACATTATATTTTATAATCTGATAATTATAATCCTATATCACTAAAATGTTAAAGTGCCTTAGACTCAGTTAACGGGCGCATAAAAATAGTGCACGCTTCACTAATTATTATTAAAGTGATTATTGGCTAATTTTCTTTAGACCCTAATTCATCTTTTCCCCCCAAAACATCTTGAATGAAACATTTCTAAAGGGATTATTTATTATAATTAAATTGAAGGCATTAACTGTTAACAATTGTTTCACATTCCAAGCTTCTTCAATTTGGTAAAAATATTATGTTAGTTATTTGACATGAGGAAAAAAAAAACAGAGGACACTCATTCAAATGTGCTCAAATCATTTCTAACAATAAGTTCAATAAGATACTTAAGTAAGTAAGTAAGTATGCTCAGAAGTCTTGTTGATGAGAAGTGGGAAAGGTGAGAAGTGGGAAAGGTGAGAAGTGGGAAAGGTTTCATTTCTAAATTCTATCAACATATCAGTATCATACAGCCATGTCTATTATCAAGGCATTTTAACAATTTTCAACAAAGTATTCACAGCTTTCATTCTAGTGTAATTATAATATCTCTGAGATATACTGGAATTTTACAGTCCAGCGACTATAGAATAGTGTGTCAGAACACTACATAGTGGGTGGGGCAACTGGCCAGGTTTATGTAATCAACAGGGTCGAATATGTTGTAGCCCCTTTTGTCCTAAATTTTCTCCTAATTAACTTCTTACATTGATGTACATGTTTAATTTTATGTGGGCTGTTTATTAAATGTGGATTAAACAACAACAACAAAAGCTGGTTGACTGGTTGCATTAAGTTTATTGATCAAAGATATTTCATGACAAATAATAATAATAATAAGTGGTCTTATATAGCGCGGTACCCCAGCCTAGGGCTGGGCTCACCGCGCTGTACATAAATATAGCAAAGAGGCATAATCATAATATTAAAATAAAAAACATAAATGAAATAAAAACAACATATAAGCAAAACAACACCAGAGGTATATTCATCCACCCACACTAGACATTTTTAACACGGAAACCCATGTACGTTTATCGGTTTATAGGAGGAGAATCAGTCAGGGTAGTGTAGTTTAAATAGATGTGTTTTGAGTGCAGTTTTGAAGGCCTGTGTGGTTGTTATATTGCGGATGTGTAGTGGCAAAGAATTCCATTGTTTGGGGGCGCAGAAAGAGAAAGATCGTTCACCATATAATTTAGTGCGTGTCTTGGGAACGGACAGAATATGCGAGTCTGCGGAGGAGCGAAG